CAGTCCAGAGTTCAAGTGTCAGTCAGATCTGAGAGTCTCCTTTTAGTAACAGAGAAGAGAGAAAGTTGACATTGACTGCCCTCTAGTGTCTTTATAACTCGAACTGTGACATTATTTTTCACTCTCATACTGTGAGCTACTTTAGATGCCAAATACAAATCTTTCTAAAGTAAAGTAAAGATGAGTACTGTAGGATTTTGTACAGCTGCTCAACCAACTCCAGTCACTGTGAGTCTCGAGCACAATAATAAACAGCAGAATCTTCAGTCTTCAAACTGTTCATCTGCAGATACAGCTGCTGTCTGCTGTTGTCTCTGGAGATGGTAAACCGGCCTTGAACTGACTGAGAATAGTAGATATCAGCACTGTCATATTTGATAATAGCAATCCACTCCAGTCCTTTTCCAGGAGCCTGTCTGATCCAGTTCATCCAGTAGTCACTGAATGTGAATCCAGAGGCTGTACAGGTCAATATGTGAGATTCTCCAGGCCTTTTAACCACTGGTTCAGATTCTGTCAGAGTCTGACCATCAACACCTGTCAAGAAGATACAAATCATGTGAAATAAGCAGATTACATAAATTACAGCTATATAGAACATCAGTGAAGATGTTCACCTGCCCAGCAGATAGTTAACAGCAGCAGTCCTGTCCTATAGTCCATCATGTTAAACTGTGTGTCCACTGTTCTCTGTCATCCTCTCTGCAGTCAGATAAGTAGAGGTGGAAGACATCTGAGTTTTGCATTGACTCCTCCTCACAGTGTGGAACTGGATTTGACTTGGATCTCAGTTGATGTTTGATGGAACTGCAGAATGAATGTTTACTGTACATTAGTCATTCCTCCAAGAGTCCCTCTTGCATGTTTCAGTATAATTTGTGCAACAGGTTGACAAACACATTATTTAAGTTGGTTGACCCTTATTAAAGACCACATTATAGACCACAGTCTGCATCATGTGAAGACCTCGACAATAGTTTGTCAATTTTACCATACACCTGTGAGTGTGAGTATTTTTAATTATATTTTAATGTAAAGAAATATCAACACCTTAAAAAATGTTGTTCATTATGTTACAATAGTGATTTTCTCACAAGAAAATGTCTGTCAAGTGTTCATAAGTCATACCATTTTCAATATTTCAGGGGAAAAAAAAACTGAGTAGCAATAATAGTGAAGAATACATTTGAGAATATTAATTAAGCATTAAACAGGAATAACATCCAGTCCATGGATGCCATGAATACCCATATTTTTCAGTCAATACGAAGAAATTCTATGATTTATATTTCTGAGACAGACAGATAAAATTTTGTAAAATGCCTCCACTGTATGTTTGATTTTATTATTCTATATTTTAATGAACCATCTTATATTTCTTTACCTTTTTCAAATCTTATCATGTCTGTTTCTCTCTTCACTGTAACAGTGAACTGGTGTTGAAATCATTAGTGGTCTGAGGGCTCCTCTTCTGGTGGCTTCATGTTACAAGTGTTCAGGCACTGAGGGGTTTTTGTTCAGGTCTACTGATGGTTTGTGTTATTGTCTCTCTCTGGCACAGTAATACACAGCAGAGTCTTCAGGCTGCACATTCTGTCCGTTTAGAGTTTTACTAAGTCGATACTGAACTTATTCTTCAGTGAATCTTTGTAGAATGAATCTCCAGTATATTTCATTCCAATCCACTTCAGTCCTTTCCCTGCAGGCTGTCTGATCCAATGTGTGCGATAGCTGCTCAGAGAATAAGAGACCTGACAGGTGATGTTCAGACGTTGACCTGGCTGCACAGTCACAGAGGCTGGCTGTGTCAACTGTTCACACTTTACACCTGTGGAGGAAAACATGTTGAATATTGAATCAGTGTGATAACAGTGAACGGTCAGTGTGCTGTGATCATACTGTCAGTGTCTCTGCCTCAGTGAGACTCACAGGATCCAGCAGCCAGCAGCAGCAGAGCTACAGAGAACATGGTTGGTATTGAAGGTGATCTGATGGGAGCTTCTCTTCTTCTGCTGCATCTGACAGCATGATATCAAGTCTTTATAGCAGACTGTGAGGATGTTCACTTTGCATAGAGAAGGACACTGACAGCCTATAAAAGAAGGATCAACTGTCAGCACAAGTACAAGACTCAGAACTAGATTATAATGTTATTGTTACTGGATTATTTGAGTAATCCAGTGATACATTAATGAATTGCTTTGCTGCAAATAGCCACACACTTCATTTGTGCTTCACTATTTGTAGTCAGTATATTTTATAACTTCCATCCTTTTTGTCTCCATCCTCTGTAGTCTTTACTGCAGGTTCTGTAACCACAGTTGTGTGAAGCGTCTAACAGAGTAAGAGACCTAGCAGGTGAAGGTTGGAGTTTGACTTCATGTACTGTCACAGATTCTTGTTAACTCAGCATTTTATATTTCACACCTGTGGAAAGAAATCAGATGTAAAATCCACCTGTATACATGTACGGAAATTATTCTCATAGCAACCGTCTAACAGAAGCTTTTTTAAAAGGAGGTGAAATGATCTTAGCCTCTGTTAATTATGCCTCTCCTACAAGCATACAGAGTCAGCTGTTTTTCCCTCCTGGATGAGACCTCATTTATATATAGTCAGTTATGTGTTTAACACTTGTTGTTTTATTCATTATGTGTTTAATTTGTGTCATTTCAATCATTATTTAGTAGTTACAATTTCTTCTTTTAAAGGAAATTTGATATCCATACAAAGATATATTTGTGGTTTTAAGTACCAAAAAAAACGAACAGGGCATTTTGTGTTGCATTTCATCTCATGAAAATTAATGAGCCTCTCTTCTGATTGGCTGACTGTTTCTCAGTAACAGGCCAACCTGTAGCCGGTCTGTATAGTTCAATCACAACCTTATGGTAGTTCTGACAGTTGGTTTAAAGGCACAGTTTCTGAATACTGGCTGTGTGCATTTCTCTGTGGAATGAGCTTTTTGATACTTTCACAGTATTTATACAGCACCTACCTGCTTTATAATCACACAAGACATGGAAATCTCACTTTCTACAATATGGGACCTTTAATTATTGAAATATGAGAGAAATTGTTTCACTCCTGCCTTACAGAATAAAATATGGGGATATTATTAACCAGTGCATTGTGGTAGATAAGCACATAAAACCATAAAAAAGAGGAAGTGACAAACCACAGCCTCAGCTGGTGCTTTCGAATCCCTGGCCATTCAAACCTACCAAAGAAATAGATATTAAAGGACACAAGTGAGAACGAGAGAAAAATAAACAGCAGAACATTAAATGTGTGCATTCTCTGATCAGTATTGCAGCATGAAGCAACGTACAGGGCAGACAGAGTGCTGTCAGCAGTACAGACAGTTTGTTCTGAAAGCTCTGGATTTGCATTGGCAGTTTGTAAGGGAGGGGCTCATTTGTATAATAGATTTGATATATATCTAATACATCTCCTTTGTCCCTCATGCCATCATACTCTACAACTCCTCACTCAGGGGGAGGAGGAAATAGGGTAAAGAGGACAGAGGGGAAGGAGTGGTAGCCACTCACTGTGCAATTAATAATCTACTCATACCTACCTGGACACTCTTCTTCTTTTTTTGTGCAATAACTTGATCCACCACTTAAGTGCAATAATTTAATTTAACTGCTTATTTCTGCTAAATGTCATTTATCCACTGTATAATAACACAATGCCATATACAGTCCTATATATTTATCTTTATTTATCTATATTTGTCCTCTATACAGTTCTCTACATTTATCTTATTTGGGGTTTTTTTTCCTTCCATTTTATTTCACTTTTATTCTTATCCCTACTTTATATATTAAGCTAAGAGTTTATCGTTTATTGTTTATTGTCAACTTTCTATATTGAGCTAAGAGTTTATTGTTTATCTTATACTGTATTTTTTTATACTGTATTTTTTATACCTCTTTATTTTCTACACAAGTGTTTTGTAAGCTGCTGTAAATCCAATTTCCTTGCGGCAGTCATCCCAAAAGAATCAATAAAGAGAAGTCTAAATCTAAGTCTAAGTCTAAGTCTAAGATAAAAATACTTTGTGCTTTTGATTATTAACTCTGGTATATAACACTGTGAACAGGGCCCTTGAGTACATTTAGCTTCAAATACGTATGTACTTTTACTTAAGTAAAACCATTATTGTGAAGTCTTAATAATGAGAATTAATTTTCTGTTACAAGTTCTCTGATTGCAATGAGGGATCAAATATGAGCATCAAAACCACATGGCAAGAATTCATGATCTGTGTTGAATTTGATTTAGTAAATAACCTTCTACTGAATATGCTTCTCCTTTTTGAAAGAACTGTTGTCTTTTATTTGTATTAATATCTGTCTATTATGAGAATCAGAATTAGAAATACTTTATTGATCCCCGGGGGGATATTTGTTGCTCACACAATGTTAAAGAATAAAAATACTTATATTACAATCTAATACAATATGTATACAATATAAATGTATATATAGGTATATACATATAATTAAAAATGGAAATAGAAATATAATAGCAGCCAATGTACCTAATAGTAATAATAATAAATTATAAACAATATATACAAAGTAATGTATGCCACAGTATGTGAACTGCAGAAATGAACTGAATAGTAGTGAGTTTTTAAAGATTGTGTTAATGCAGAAGTTATAAATTATGACAAAGAATGACGTACTAATTACAAGAATGACGTAATAATTACAAAGAATGGCGGAATAATCCAGTGTGTTATTATTGCACCTTAATGAATTTAATGCACATTTACGACTTGTGCAATAAAGTAGTTCATACATCTTAATTTCAGATTAGGGCAAAGCAGTTTATTAATAACTGATTTAGTTTTAAAAAGATTTAAAAGATTTAATAGATTTAGTTTCAGTGTGTAATATGACCTGCGACTGTGCTCTGTATGGCGCACAGTGGCATCCGCACCGCTAGGAGGCGCTGTAGTCACTGGAATTGCTCTCCAGGTGTACACTTGGTTACAGTTGAGAGGGATTCATCGTTCAGGCAGCAACAGGTGCCCTCCGCCCAAACCCCCCCCCACATAAAGACCGACTCGTGGATGAAATGCAGGAATTCCAGGTGGAAAATGACCGGTAGAAAAGTTTAAAGAACTTTGTGGCAGAGTTCAAAAGGTAAAAGTTTAACGTTGTCTCTCTTTTTTTTCTCCTTATCTCCCAAACTTGACGTGACGTGGACTAGTGCTCCACATCTTGATATCCCGCAGGTACAGGTAGAGCCTGACAGGTGTTACTGAGCGACATGTTCCTGCTTTCATCTGCTTGTTTCTGGACAGAATAATACATTCACTTCATTATATAGTAATGTATATTGTCGGCATTTATCTGCGCTGTGCCATTCAAACAAGATATTCCTCTCCTATGCCTGTGCGAGCGAGTTAATATAAAGCCAGATTCTTTGTTTAAACTGGAGTTACAAGGAAATAAATGAAGACACGCTCGAAACTCTTCTACTGAATGCGCAATATAATAAAAAGTAAAAGCTAAGATGGCATTATGAGTCAAACAAAACACAGAATTCAATAGACTGGAAGCCTGAAACGCTGACATATGTGCATCTATCTTATTTTACCACCACAGCAACTGTATTGTGTATATACTGTGAATATATATGCAGTGGTGGAGAACTTAAAGTACTAATGCTACACTGTGAACCACCCTACCAGGTTACTAGTAACAGTCCCGCATTCAAAACCCTTAATTAAGTAAAAGTATGTGAGTAATATCAGCAAAATATTAAAATGTATGTTTAATATCACTGTAGATGTTTAAGGTTGAGCTAATTTTAACTCCTTTATATGCTGTTAATCTACAGCACTGCATCCTGTGCTGTAGGATCACAACATGTTTGGAGCATTGCTGTCCTGTGAGAACCACGTATCTCTATAAAGTTTCTTGAGCTCAGAAAAACAGCCCAGTTTTCAGCTATGGGACATTGCATTTTCCAGCAAACCCAAGAGGGATTCAGCTGAGACATGTCTGAACCCATAAAGGAATACTTAATCCATCAATTTATCAGAAAAAAATTGAAATCAATATATTTATAACATACTGAACAAGGAGGACTGCAGTGTTGCCTCTGGAGACTGCTGTATCACCAGGGTCTGTCCATTGGTTTCTCTTTTTAAAGTACATTTAAAAAATCAAGAACTGGACCTGAAACAGTTAGTTGATTGACAGAAAAATAACTTGCATCTACTTTGATAATCAAATTGTTTTTCAAGCAACAACAGTGGATAAAGTGCCACATATTCTTTGCTTCCTCTGAAAAATGATCATACATCACTGTGAATTGAGTATCTTTTGGTGCTGGTCAAACAAAGAGACATTCAATGCTGGGAAGCTGTGGTGAGCCTTTTTTTCACTTTTTTTTTTACATTTCATGAACTCATTTATTAATTGTAAAATAACCAACAGTTTAATTGATGATGAAAATAATCGTAGCTCTAACCTTGCAACTGCAAATAAACACCATTGATAGTATATAGACTATCATTAGTTTACCAAATATGATTTGAGGACAGGAGTACTGATTAGTCTTATACGCCTATTGTGCTGTGTGTTAATGTATTATCTTCCATCTAGGTGCTCCATGTGAGGAGACACCGTGACTTGCTCGCAGTCATGAAGAGGAACAAACAGATTGACATCAGGCACGCCCTCGCGCTGGCCGGCACCTTTAACTTCCTGTGCTCCTGTGCCAGAGCCTGCCTGCTCCCCTTCCTCACCCTGTACTTCAGACAGCTGGGTCTAACTCCAGCGATGACGGGCATCGTCATGGGGACTAAACATCTCATATCGGTGGTCTGGAGCCCTGTCGCAAGCGCGCTCTCCAAACACTACAACAAGAGACGAGTGGTGATAAACGGCTCTCTTGTGTGTTCGGCGGCGGTCGCTCTGGTTCTTCTGCTCATCCCACCTACAGATGTGAACACACAGACCAGCGCCTGCAATGTGTCTGATCTGAGCAGCGGCCCAACCCCAAATGTGGGTGGTAACCTGCTCATGAGCAGCATTGGACCGTCCATATTGTCCCCTACAACTCAACCTAAAGCCAACACAGCTCTTGTGTCCCAGTCTGGCGTCACTTTGCCTGCAAAGACGCTTCCTGACACTAAATCTGCTCCTGTTGTGACGAGCAAAATGTCACTTCATCAGCCTGATGGAGATAAATCGCATCCTCAGCTGTCACAAGAGAACACAGTCAACAACAGTGCGGGGGAACCAAAGATCAGTGGTTCCGTCATACACCGGACCACCAGCTCTGCGGCGGCTCCACTGAGAAACAAGAGGTCCGAGTCCAAATCAGGGTCAGGAGAACAGCTAGGAGAAAAGACAACAGAGGGGGAGAAAAGGGAGGGCCACTTTGACTTTCTGGGCAGCCTGAAGGTGATGGACCCTCTGCACCAGCTCTTCTTCTTGATACTCATCACTGTGTCGGTGTGGGAGTCTTCGTCAGCCCCTCTGGAGTGGACGGCAGACGACGGGCTGTACGAATATCTAGACTACGCGGATGCTTCGGACCGCTACAGCAGCACCAGGGTTTGGGGTTTACTCGGAGGAGCCTGCGGGGTTGGAGGAGCGGGGTTGCTGGTGAGCCAGTTAAGCTGTGTCATAGCTGGGCAGACCTCCCGGAGCGCGGTGCATTTCTACTGCTACGCCGGTGTGGCAGCTCTGGCCCTGCCTGCAGCCACCTACCTCCCTCTCTACCTGAATAAGAAGCGAGACAGGGCCAACGGGCTCCTCAAAGCCATGCAGCTGGTGCGTGGCTCACCCCGTGCTCTGCTCTGCGCAGTCACAACCCTGTTGGTCGGGGTGGCAGGGTCCGCCGTGGATAACTTCCTCCTGTGGCAGATGCAGGATCTCGGGAGCACCGAGCTGCACATGGGACTGTCTCTAGCCCTCGCTCTGCTCTCACAGGCTGCCTTCCCTCTACTGGCTGGCCGAGTGTCCAAGCTCCTCAGCCCGGGAAGGGTGCTTGCTGTGGGGGCCGCGAGTCTCGGGTTTCAGTGCTTCTATTACTCCTTCCTCTGGGGGCCGTGGGCTGCGCTGCCTGCTCAGGTGTTGAGCTGTTTTAGCAGTGGGGCCCTCTGGTGGGCTGTGAAGGTCCAGTGTGAGGATGTTGCCACACCAGGGGCTGAGAGGAGTGTGAGGAGGATCTACAGTGCGCTTTCTCTGCACCTGGGGAGCGCTTTAGGGAGCTTTGTAGGTGGGTTTGTGGTGCAGAGGTTCGGGCTGACGTGGCTGTTCAGAGGAGCAGCAGTGGGTCTTTTACTGTGGTGTGTGTGTCTGCCTCTGCTCCAGTGGAAAGCCCCTCGCCAGCGCAGGATTAACTATTCTCGCCTTTTGGCGGCTGATGCAAGTGAAGCCAGTGACTCTGAGTCTGAACAGGAGAGAGACTGGCTTGATAAAGCAATGGAAGAAGACAGAGGCAATAACAACAATGGACGGAGGATAAAGCACTAAAAGAGAGCAGATAGATAGTCCCTAGATAGAAGGGACGTTCCTTCACAAAATCAAATCATAGAATAATTTCTATCAATAGGGAAATAAGAATTATCATTCCCCACCAGGTTTAAACTCTCAGTTACAGACATGTCACTCTTTATCATCAAGTAGCATACTCCAGAGTGGGATCGCTGATTTCCTTCTCTGACAGGTTTAATTAAAATCTAAGCGTTGACTTTTCATCAGAATTGAATGTTGTGGCATTCCAGCTGTCTTGCCATTTTATCAGTCTGCAGTTAAAGTGTCAGCTGCACTGATGGACTTCCTCTCCGAGCCACCTGAGCCTTTATGCACATTTGCATAAGCAATCATTGTTTTATAAAGCAAACAAAGGAGCAGGATTATGGGTGGGCAGAAGAAGGACTCTGTACCACCAGGCGAGTTCAGCAGCTTACTGTATGCATCATGACAATAGAAACACAGAAGCTTCTTACTAGGAATGTAAACACAAGACGTGTGCACAAGGTGAGGCTGAACTAGACTGGCAACCACCACACCCGGTTTGTTTATCTTCTGCTACATTCACTGCAATGACTTTTTGCCATTCACCGTGTCTGTGCCTTCACTCTGACTCTAGACTGTGAGAGCTGATAAAATGATTTGACTGATTTGAAAGAGCCCTGTGTTATGCAGTTGTGAGCTGATGCATGCGGAACATCAGGAAGCAACTGTGTTTGTCTAACCCGTATTTCAAAGTGAGTCTGCTGAACATACCTCATGTCAAATGGTCCATTTTGACAGATGTCTGAAGTTTGAAATGCTAAATTTGGATAATGTTTAATGCAATTTCATGCAGTGAGGTCAAATTAATGCGGATATAAAAGGCTCCCTGACTTTCTTTTGTGCAGAAAGTTTCTGTATGTATATGTTACCGGAGTACTGTGAAGAGTAATCTAACCACGCTAACAGAATTAACCCCTTTGTATTGTCGAAGCATCTGATGCATGACTCCAGCATCGGCTCTTCTTGAGTATTTGCAATAAATACAAATATTTATGCTGCCACTTACATTTCATATGATACCAGCAGCCAAAATAAATGTTTGTTTTAGATCCAAGTGATCTAAAGACATGGATCTCCCTCTGCTTTTAACACACAGATGTACCAGGGTGTGGGACACTGCTACCCATGGCACAGTGGCAGCTCCTGCATGCAGACAGATGCACGCTGCCCCCCCAAAAAAAAAAAAAAATCTGGCGAGGCCCTCAAGGGCCTAATGGCATGAAATCAAGTCATCCCCAGTTTGTCACTAACAACTGAACTCAATCAGGTGGGATGGAAAATTCATGATGAAAGACAGCTCGATTCTCTCGTGGAGAGGGCTATGGTAGTGGTTAGAGCGCAGCGAAGCATTGAAGGGGAATTTGGCAACTATAACAACTTAATAAACCCGTTTAGAAATCATTTGGCCTGTTCCCGTGTTAATGGTGACTTTCCCTACTCCCACTAGTGTCCCCAGTCAGAAAACCAACCTTGCAACTTTTGGACTACTGTCCCGTTGAGTTGGAAATAGGAAGAATCGTGAGAAGCGAGAACGCAATGTTCTATGATACTGTGTATAATGTATTACCCACCTCGGTAGACATTGCTCCACACGAAAAAGTTGCCCAGCTACAAATGCCCATCAGCAGTAGTAGAAAGGGGGAGTAGGGTGCCACAAGTGAGTTTTTTTACGACAGTTTTGTGAAATATACGTCCCAGAGCTGTAGGGGGAGCTCGTTGAGAAAACATGCGACGACAAAAGTGAAAACCAGCGAAGAAATGGCCAGAGTTGCCAAGTTACCCTTTAAAAAGTTGTCTTTTATGTTTTTTTATTAAATAGCAGATAGGAAGGGTGGCTAAGTTTATTTTGAAATATTTTTTTTAAAGTTTTCTGCTGTGAATCTCATACATTCACAGAACCACTTAAGTCTTAATATTTCATAGTTTGTTTTTTTAACATACTTACAGATATATTTTGAATTTTTTGTATTATTTTACAAGCTATAAATAATTTTAGACCCTGATTCGGTTCAATACAAGGATACAAGGTAATTAATTCCTTTTACAACACAGGGTTGCTTAATGAAATTCAGGTTTGTAGTACTCTTTATGTTAATTGTAAAAAGGTCACACTGCAAAAAAAATCTGATCTGTTTGAACCACATATAAAAGTCGTCCAATTCATAAACAGAAAAGATCAAAATCAGTGTGATCTGTGCTGTTCACACTGTCATGAAAAAAAAAGATCTGAGTCACATATAAGAAAAAAATTATTTTGATTTTGGCCACTTAGAATTTGTGCATTTAGTACTGTATTGCAAATACTTTTCCATTTTATGCAGCTTTATACTTCTACTCCACTACATCTCAGAGGGAAAAAATTTACTTTTTATTTCAAAGCTTTAGTTATTTTTCATACCCTTATTATCCCCAAATTTGGTGATTTTGAATGTTTCTAAACAATTGAATGATTAAGTGTTCCTTTAAGAGTTCAGAAAATGTCTCCTAAGCTAAATAAACAATTTAAAACTCCTCTCAAATTAGCTAGAAAACTCATTTTTATTTTATTTTATTTTATTTTATTTTTTATTCTCTTATGAAGCTTTTCAGAGATGCGTGGAGCCTAAAGGACAGTGACACTACAAACATATGAACTTCTTGAAGAATATGATGCATTGCTGTAAAACAAACTCCCCAACAGTATATAAAGTAGTTAAAATGAGCTCAACCTTAAAACAGTAAAATGCAACATTAATGCAGCAGTTATCCTCCGGGCTGTTGCTGTGTGTCATATCTGTCAGCAGGTGGCGCCTCTCAGCACAGATCAGCTCCTCCGTGCTGACATCCAGGTTCAGCTTCTCTTGGCAGCTCTCCTCCCCGTTATATCCCCTCACACGTCAGGCCAGTGCTGCATGGACTCGGTAGTGTAATTTTTTTCAGGCTGCACAAATATTTATTTCACATTTTCTGCCCAGAGTGTCTGACCGTCTTTGAAGAATATGGAGAAAGAGAGCAAATCCTCTAAACAGTACGGCTCTTTGGAAGAGACGCAGGTGGACAGAGAGACGGAGAAATCAAGTGAGTTTTGCGAAGCGTCCACCGCACACGTTTTGGTTTTGTGTTTAAAACTGAACTGGATGTGCATGCTTGGAAAGTGTTTTGTATGGAGTACTCAGCAAAAGAAGCTGATGCACCAACTTCCAGATGAGAGAATTAAAGCTTCGGGTCCCTGCAGATCCTCACTGTGAGCATGTTAAAGTTTATCTGTCAGCAGGGCCGTAGACAGGATTTTACAAATCCTGAAGGGTGTCAGTGGTGGGGCTTAAATTTATAAACCCCAGTGATTCTAGTATGTTGTGGAGGTGAAGCTTTTTTACAATGAATTTAACAGTTTATTTACGTTGTCTGGGAATATTATTATTCATTTAAAGGTCATACTTAGAGTTTTCCTACTTGTATCCATGGTCTGAATTTTGTTTTCTTAGAGCCATCTGCAAAAATAACAATCCTCACAATGGCTTCTGCTTGGTTAATTTTTTCATTAAGTTTTTCAAGACGTTTCCTGAAATTGTTGATAATTATATAAAAATCTACACGGTGTTCAGTTGGTCCTTTTAATTTATCCAATCAGGGCTGCAACTACCTGTCTATAAAAGGTCAGGAAATAGTGAAAGATGTAGGTTACAATGTCCTTACGCCCAAAACCGTCATATTGCTTGTTTTGTCCCAACAGTCCAACATATACAGGTACTCAGTTTAATGTCACATCAGACAAAGAAATGCAACTTATCCTCACATTTAGGAAGCTGGAACTAGAGAATGTTTGCTATGTTTGCTTGAGAAATTAAATGATTAATCGATTATCAAAATAGTTCCAAATAACTTCAGACAACAACTTAGTTCATCAACAACTCATTTCAGCTGCAGTTTCGATGAATTCATTGATGCAGAGAGTCTTAATTTTAGTGAAGAACAGGTCAGCTGAACATGCAAGAATGTAAAATGTATCTATGGGCATTCAGTAATAAATTAAGTTTTTATTAACTTGTTTTAGGCAGTTTGGGTTTTTTTTTTTTTTTTTTTACAATATACCTATGTTTTCCCTATAGGAGCAAATTACATGGTTCTTTCCAGGTAAATTCCTAGGAAAATACGCTACTATCTTTAGCCTGATTGTGAGATTTATTTTTTGGCATTCCTCAAGGCTCAGTTCTTGGTTCTCTGCTATTCCCACTGTACAAGCTTTTTCCTCTCCTGCTGTAATATCATGTATGCAATATTTTATCACAAGGACACAAACAGGCACACATTTATTTTAATACTTTCTATTATATTCAACACGGATCACATAGTGGACTTTAACAGTGACTTAAGGGTGTGACAGTATTACTACAGCTGTATTGTATGGAAATTATATGCAGGCTTTAAGAAATAAACCAAAATTGGAAGTGATAGCGTGAGAGGAAAATAATCATTCTAACACTGTCAGATGGCTTGGAGCAGAATAATGCAAACAAAAAGAGGAACGCATGCAGGCTGTTTTCACAATAAAACACCAAATCACCAGCTGATAATTAATGTGTGTGCATACATGTGGTAATACAATGAATAAAGTTGTGGAATCACCAGTGTGTTTTGGGAGGTTGTGTGTTTGTGCAGCCCTAATATCCCCAGCGATTCAGTGTGTATGATTGTAATGTCGTTTCACACAAGGTCGGGTAATTAAAAGCCAATTCAGGCTCTGCTGGATGACTCATCGCTCCTAGTGAGGAGTGCGAGGCTGGGAGGGCGGGGGCCATTATTCAGTGATGCTCGAAGAATTACTGGGGGGTATCCACAGTCTAGAGCTCAGATCAGATCATAACAGGATGGTGAATTTGATCTAGGGCACTATTAATGGAGTTGAACAATGATCATTGTAAGTTTGACTGTTTAATTCATAATTTAGAGTGCTTTTTGTGTTTTCTTTTGGATTTTTAAGTAGATGAAATCAACCACAAATCATTTTTCTGAGAATCAATTAATCCACACAAAATAAAAAAGCAAATAACTGTCTTGGTCTTGTCTGTCTTTCAGCAGACGATGTCATTTCAATGGCTGACTCCACAATTACAATCGAGGAAGTAGAGCTGGGCAAAACTGAGCGGATAAGAATTACTGAGAACTGCCAAATGAATGTGCTAACAGTCATAATCTATCGATAGGCCAAGATTGATAGACAATTCTCCCTCATTCAGAGATCAAGTGCAGATATCTTGGGCCAGTTGCCCAGTGTTTTGCTTATCTTGTCTTATGTTATCTTATTTTAATTTATATTCACCCTTATTATCCTGGTTTGGTCCTGTACTCTTACCCCTCCTGTGTTTCATTCTTCTTTTGCTGTTTCTGTTATGACACCTGAATTTCCCTGTGGGGATTAATAAAGGTTTATCTTATCTTGTCTTATAATAATGTGGCAAAAAGCAGACTTTACCTAGTAAAAACAATTTAAAGCAATAGTTTGAGGTTTTGGGAAACAGGATTATTTGCTTTCTTGCCGAGAGTTTGATGAGAAGATTAATACCACTCATGCTTTTGCGCTAATTATTAAGCTACAGCCCTCAATTGGCTATCTTAGCTTAGCATAAAGACTGGGAAAAGTGGGAAACAGCTAGCCTGGCTTTGTCAAAAGGTATCAAACAAACAAGATAAAATGTGTTAGTGAGCTTTAGAGGTGCTGGTAGACACATTTTGTTACCTTGAGACAGAGCAGGCTAGTTGTTTCCCCATGTTTCAAGTCTTTGTGCTAAGCTAAGCTTCTGGCTGTGGCCTCATATGTACTGCACAGGCATGAGAGTGGTATCGCTATTCTCATCGAACTCTCAGCATGAAAACAAATACATTTCCCAAAATGTTCAACTAGTGTATACTAATGTGCATTATCTTCTCCATATAGGATCAATTAGTTCACCAGTGGAACTTAGAAAGAACCGTTATTTCAAACACAGGTGTAATTATTGTCGTATGTTCCTATAACTGTTCCTGTAAGTGAAGCCAGCGAGTCAGCACGCACAGTAGAGCCTGGGACTGGATCACTTAAATAGATTGCTGTCATTAATAAGGTTATTAGTTACATCTGTGCTCTCCCTGCAGATTAACGTCAAAAATGTCTGCTGTAACAGTTTATTATAGACACAGTCCATGTTTAGCCTGTGAACATCCCTTCTCACATGCCATCACCAATTCACTGTGAAGGCTGTTCACGCTTCATAATTTCCCTCTGCTCTGCCGAGGATAATCCAAACGTAAGTGAGAAGTCGACTGAATTGCAGCATTTTGATGGGTTTACTTTGAAATATTACAGAACTATTAGCTGATAACTGCTTATTGTTAAAGTGGCAGTTCTCGATAAGCAGTATCAGTAACGTGATGTGACAGGAGGAATTGCTAGGCACCTTAAATGAACTATAGATGTCTAGTTAGGGTCTGCTCACCAGTTATTATAATTTTTGTATTTGTTTCATCAGTTTTTGTTTTTGTTTTTGAGTTTTTTTCCAGTTAGTTTCCAGACTGGGTTTGTTCTATTCTATATATAATTCTATTATAGTTTTTATTGTTTAAAAAAATATTTACTTTTAGTTTAGTTTTTTATTATTTTAAGTATTATTTTTATTTTTTTGTTTGTTTTTTTTAATATGGGGGGTATTTGTCACAGGCAAGATTTAAGAAGTTCAGATAAGGTATTACAATATAACACACTGACTCACATTCATGTAGACACCCCAGTCTCATTAAACATACGTACCAATGGCTCCAAATGCTTGTTGTGTGAACAAACAGTTAATCTAAAGATATTTTTAGTTTTATATATATATATATCCTTTATTTAAAGGATTCATAGATATATATAATCTCCTTTTCAAGAGTGACATGGCCAAGAGGGCAGAACAAACAACATTAAAAACAGTTTTAGTTAACTATTATAACGTTGCTGTGCAACATGTATTGCTCTTGGATTTTCTCTGTATTTTTTGTTGTTGCTTGTAGTTTACAGAAGGTACGTCAAACATAATGTCTTTGAATCTAAAATAGTGTGTCTGTAAAAACAATTTCATTATAAAGCAATAAACAAGCAAATAACTGTGTTTTGGTCTTGTCTGTCTTTCAGCAGACGACGTCATTTCGATGGCTGACTCCACAATTACGATTGAGGAAATTGAAGGAGAGCTGTGCAAAATTGAGCGGATAAGAGACATCCTCGTACGGAGAGAATCAGAGCTGAGATACATGTAAGATCTGCTTCTTCAACAGCACCTCTCGTGTTCACTACATTTAAACATATCTCAAACGCAGACACAAAGACAGAACGGAGATTTTACTGTAATTACTCGAGCCGTATTTGGGTTTTTCATGGTTTGGATACTGACAGTGATGACATGATGACATTAGACCCAAGAGGACAATTGTTGCTTTTCACCAATCATGTGACGTTCCACTGTTTGGGCAACTGCACCCACATATACAGTAAAGCTCTGCTGTATACACTGAGATACTTTTAACAGCCCCTCAGGAATAAGAGATGACTGTCAGCCAACACTGGGAGCAGCCATGTGCATGATGGCAAAAAATGTGTGAAGAAAACAGCAGTGCTATTTAAGGTCTAAGCAGACTACCAGCACACACACACACACACACACACACACACATCCGCCTTTTTTTTTTTCAGATCTCAAAAGATGCCCTTTTCTCCTTTCTCTCTCATCCTTGCTTTTAAGTATTTCACTTTTTTCTGCTGAGACCTTGAATTCCTCATTATTTTGACACATGAGGATGGTGTTGGGGGAGCGGGGACTACGAACAGCAACCAGTGCTGCATAATGTGTCCACATGATGAATCGGAGAAACGGAGAATAACGACTTTTGGTCAGTGTTTTGTTTTGCTGTGCGAGCCTTCAAAATTACCACACTGATAAGTGTTGTGGTTCATGATGAAACACATCAGTTTCCTATCATGTTTTCACTTCCATCCATGATCCCACGTATCCAGAGGGTGAAAAGTGATGCTCAATCCCACTCCCAATAATAGATTGTTTTCCTTCTCATCTCCACGGGCCTGCATGTGTTGACATGTATTATATCAACAGCAACACAGACGGCATCTGAAGCTCAGCCACTGCGGGCAGACTTGGTAAAACAACAAAACTATCATATGAAAACAAATTACTTGTATTTCTGTACTGGTGAGGTTGTATTTGAAAAGCTTTAACCAGTTGTCTCATTAAAGGTCCAGTGTGTAACATTTAAGTGGATCTATTGGCGGAAATGGAATATAATATGTAAAGGTATGTTTTCATTAGTGTATAATCACCTGAAAATGAGAATTGTTATGTTTACTTTAAAATGAGCCGTTTGTGTCTACAGAGGGAGTCCGCCATGTTGAACCGCCATGTTTCTACAGTAGCCCAGAACGGACAACCAAACACTGGCTCTAGATAGGGCGCCTTACATTTTTTACGAGTTACACTGTCGCCATAGTTTCTACTACACGCTTGAAAGGCGAGCAGTATTACTACTAATACTATACTCCTCTTCCTCCCAAAAAAAAATGAAGCCAAAATATCCTGTATATGCTTGCTGCCATCTTGTGCTGGTGCTGTCATTTGGAGCCAGAGTCTGCACAGAGCTGTAGACCCTTGTTTTTCTACTGAGATCCTGCTTTAGGCAGTTGATACAGTTCAAGCAAAATAAACTCATGCAAATACATTTTGAATTAACACTCCTGAGTGGCAGCATCTGAGTCATCCTGAATATACTGTATACTTCCTAAGTACGCTGAAACCTATTTTATTAAACCACGAGTCTATTTATAGCACAGTCATTTTCCTCTTTTTGCCATCACTGTAATAGCAGCCCACGGACACACACAAACACTCGAGTGAACGACCCCTAATGTTTTGAAATCTGCACCAGTGTCAGACGGAAATTAGATCTGATACAGTCAGGTGTAATTCATTCACAAAGGGCAGCATGGCAGTGTTATTTCAGCTAATAAAGTCACAGACCTCGCTGTCGTCAGAGCCTAAAGTCAGAGTCCAGTGTCCAGTCGTACAATTTCACATTGATGCTTGTAAGTAAAGTCAGGAAGGAAATGACTTTGCATTCTATGTTTTTAAAGCCCCTTTGAAGAGATAACTAGTTATTTCCGTCAATATATTCTTTAAATAAGCTGATTTGGAAGTCTAGTTTATACTTTTTTTTACACTGGCATCAGCTGATTTCCTGCAAAACACCTATTCACAGTTGGTTTGTTTTACAGGATGGATGACATCCAGCTCTGCAAAGAAATCACAAGGCTGAAGACAGAGCTGCAGAAACTTGTCTCAGTCCAAGGTAAATTAAAAAGCAGTCACTGTCTTACTGTGTGGTGTTTGTCACATTTTATTTATTCTGCAGAGATTCTTTGGTTGATGGGCCGCATATGGTTTTTATTTGTGTTTATGACCTCACCTGTTGTCACCTCAAATAATATTATGTATATATATATAATATAATTAACTAATAACAGTGGGCTTCTCCAAGCTTCCCCCCATCCCACCTGAATTGTGGTTATATAATATAACTTCTATCTGAAGATATTCAGATCACATTCCTTTGTTCATAAAGTTTAGATGACATCTCTAATATAAAAGGTTGCTGTGGCAACTAAAAAGATAAGAAGCTGTAGTACAGTACAAGTGTTAAGTAACATATAAATTATAAAGTGCCTTTTATTGTGGGGTTTTTTAGCCATGCTCTAGCAATGTTTGTTTGTGTAGAAATGTAATACACACGTTCATGTCCCCCTCAAGATTAATTTAATTTTAACTTTTGTGACTTACTATTTATACATACATAAAGTGTGTGAGAGAAAATAGATATGACTAATGAAAAGAAATTGAGGGCTGGCTGGCAGTTGTTTGCTCACATCGAATTGCCATCAGTGGCCAGCTCAAGCAGCGGCCCCATAAGCGGCTAGCCAAAATGCCGTCCGTCAAAGACATTCAAGTTTTGGTTGTTCTGTGGTTGTTTTCTGGAGGTAGTCAGCTGAACAGTTCTCAGCAAAAGGCAAGTCGGCAAACAAGTCAAAGGCTCTCTGGATTTCTGAGTTGATTGATAAAACCCCGCCAGCCTACCAAAAGAAAGAAACAAATGGCACCCAATTTTAACAATTCTAACATGCTAAACTAAGGTGTTGACTTTTGTAAACATTATAGCTGCCAAACTTCAGCATGTTCGTATTGTCACTGTTTTGTATTTAACTACAGCCTCACAGAGCTGATAACACGGCTGGAGATTTTGTGTGCAATTATTCAATGTTTTCTGGCTACATTCACAGCAGTTAACACATTGAAACCGAGTCTTTAAAGCTGCAGGGACTGCCCATTGTTCCAAAGGCCCATTACTCCAAAACTCTGATAGTCCGAAAAATGTCCCATTGGACCGAATACCAATTTGTCCAGCAGCACTTTATCCCAAAAAAGTCCACTGCTCCAAAGACTCTGTCGGGCTGTCAGACAAATTGGGCATTTTTTGGACTATTGGGGTTTCAAAATAATGGCATGGCACCATAAATACAGCAGCATAAGGCACGATGTCTGAAACAATCCACAACAAGTATAACTTTAGTAATGACTCTTTTACAGTCGTAAAATATAATAGTTGTGTATGTGAGGCTTGTCATGTGACTGTTGAACAGAACAGGACAAGTCCAAGGAGGACAAGGAGAGGGAAGAAGAGCTGCTGCAGCAGATCAACAAGCTGGTGGAGACCAGAGACTTCCTCGTGGATGATGTGGAGTTTGAAAGGCTGAGGTGAGATTATTAAATCAAGTGATTGGAAAAGACTTTGAGTAGGTATGTATTCATAGTAATGTTCTTCTCACACACAGGCTCAGCAGACATTACAGTGCTGTCTGTTTACAAGACTTAGGTTTGAGGGAGTAAATATGTTTTGATTAAGGCAAATGTGTGCAATTATACACTTATCTTTTATGTTGATCAGTGTGAAGATTTTCCCAAACCACTTTAGTTCAGTAACTCCTGCACAAATATAATTAATTAAATGTCCATCTCAGGCTGTTTATCCAGTGAATATTTAAGGCATTCTCTGATCTTCATAACACCCTTTTTATAAAGCATTTCCTCTCTGTGTTCTATGAATCCTCTCTGTATATTTACGCTGGATAATAATAGCAAGTCCACCATCACTCAGATCATTTGTTTGTGGTGTTAAATTAGCTGTCATCACTGATAAGCAGGCAACTGTTAATGTGAGTCTTTGAGTGACATTTTGATTGGTCTCAGAAAGATTGCAGGGACGTGAGAGGCCATCTTCCTTCAATATTCCACGTGCATGTGAAAATTGATTGAGGAGAGGATTGTGTGTAGGTGCAGCGGTGAATTCACACCATGTACAAATTGAAGTCACTTCCTGAGGATTTGTCAGTCCAGCTTGTAGCCTTAGCTTCTCTCAAATGCAGCCCAGTGACATTTATTTAAGTGCAAAAACCACATACTTGACAACTACAACACAAGGAAATATTCTCCTCCACAGGGAACGGGAGGAAGACAGAGACATGGCTGCCTTCTTACAGTCTAAATTTCCCAAGACATTGGCTGCAAAAGGTGAGTTTAACCATGAGGCTGTCATGTGCAAGCGTCCAATTAAAAAGCAATCTTGGAGGTCAGTTATCTTTGTAGCCACAGTTTGTCTCTGCTCACACATTTGTGTGTAAGAGGATGAATTACTGTAGGTGTGAATACCTTCTCTGGTAGTTCAGTTGTAATCTTTGCGCACCTTCATGACTTCACCCAATCGCTGGCTCACTGAAATCACTCTGCATGAGCATGTCAGTCAAAATTCCTCAACGTTTTTTAAAGGTTTTATATAATTCACTTGCCACTAGATGTCTCACTAGAGCATCATCATCTGAGACTAAAACAACGACTGACCAGACTCCATTGACAGAACCTGTAATATTACTTTGCAGATAATCGTAAAACACACATCCAACAATCTTACTCACACTTATTTGTTAATCTTTCCACTGTTCCAACAATCAACAATGCTGATTTGTTTGAAATAAACTCTTAATATACCAAGTTAGATGAGAAAATAGTTGCGAAACAGGCTGCTATGGCTGCCATGTAACAATATCTAATACTTGGGAAGAAATCCACCTGTGTAGCTACCGGTCGTAACAGCAAGTGAGTTCAATAGGACAAACACTCCTTGAGAAAAACACAGGAGCAGCTGGTGTATCTGTTGACAGTGCAGCCCAACCCACGTTTAATGAAAGACTCAGTCAAAAATAATTGAAAAAGATCTGGTTTCACAGTGTTTTACACAGCACAAGTAGTTTTCCTCACACGCATTCTGTGGCTGCTCCTTCTTGTTCCAATACTCCCTGCATTGCTCTGCTAGCCACTGTAGCCCACCAGCTAACAGTCATGGGTGTTTTTATGTAATTGGCAGGGTTAGTTCACTAAATACATAGTTCATTGCTGAAGGTAAAACTGAGTTTGAACTAGCTGCTGGCAGTAGCTTCAAATGTAGCATACAGACGGCAAGAAAGTCAAGAGGCATATTTCCAAAACCGTCACAACTCTCATTCAAGGATTATAACTTTAAGTGAAGATGTAGAGGATGAGAGCGTGAAAATGCTGTGGTGAATAACAGTTTTACCATCACCTGTCCTTCTCAATCAGGTGCATTGGAAGATCAAAAGGTGGCGTCCAAATCCCAGCAGACATCAGCACCATTTATCACTAAAACTGGAATCACATTACTGAAAGACTGCTGTGGCTTCACCTGCTCTATCATGTAACACTGTGTGTGTGTGTGTGTGTGTGTGTGTGTGTGTGTGTGTGTGTGTGTGTGTGTGTGTGTGTGCGTGTGTGTGCGTGTGTGTGTGCGTGTGTGTGTGGGGGGGGGGGGGATGCACATGCGAGCCTCATCAGTAATTATCTGCATTAATCTTCAAATGCTCATATGCATATAATGTAAGACATGTGTATTATAGGATCTCATTTGCTACTGTGAAATACTGTGTTTATATGTCTTGCAGCGGGGAGGCTGACTGGCTTATATATAAACTAATGGTTTCTGTCCAATTAGTGTAATTAGATATTATTATGGCTGCTCTGACTATCCATTTGTGATGTATTAGACACTGTTATCGTAGACGTCTCTAAGGGAACAAACTCCCTTTTGCACGTGCTGTAGTACTGTAGCAAAGTATTATAATAACTGGACTGAACAGTAGCTGTACAACAGAGGAGAGATTTTATGTAAGATGACAATGTTATGAAGAGAATACAAATTCAGAAAACCTTTTTCATTCAGTTGGTCATTAGATGTAGACAGAGTTGAACAAAAGTGGTCCAGAATTTATGCACAAGGCGTTCCTACTGCCTGAATGTTATACATTAATAACTTTGGTTGCTACTCAGATATTCAGCAGCCCACAACCTAAACCAAAGTCTTTGTCTGAACCGGATGTAATCAGTTATGTAATCAGTAGTCATTAAGTAAGATTGCCTTACAGCCAGTGTTTTGTACACATTTTCACATTGATCAAAAACAATTCAAAAACATAATGTGTCCGCTGTCATAATGTGTCTACTACTTGTATTTTTGTGTCAGTCATTTTGTGTGACTATGATGTATCATCTTTGCAATGCTGTTATAATAAAGATTTTTATGTCCCTCCTTCCTTTTTCAGGGTGCCTTTCAGTTTCTTAGATACATAAGTCATTGTAACCTACACTGTTCTATAACTGGACCTTATTAGAATCAACACTTCCTGTTAATAGTAAACATATATCTTGGCAATTTAATAATTATTAATAATTATGGATGGTGGAGGATTATTGAAGTTTGATGTTTATTAATGGCAAACTACCAGTTTCAGTGATTACTGCACCCTGGTATATTGCATTTTACATAATTGTTGTTAGGGACAAACCAAACATTGGCTCTAGATAGGGCTGTTTTTTTCACGTTTTGCTGCTACACACTGGTCTCAACGCTCTCCGTACCACTTCTATACACACACACACACACACACACACACACACACAAATCTAAGTGTTATAAGAGGCTGGACTCTCTGACCTGTTCCAAACCACATATCTAGGCTACAGTATGTGTAACTGCCATGACAACAGGTTTGATTGCAGTTCTTGTATTTGCTGTCTTGGTGGGAAAACCAGCTGGTTGCAGTCACACTCTGGAGCACATAAACCCACCTGAACAACGTCAACAGAGGTCACTCAAGTCTAACATCCTCTGTGGGGATGTTCTACTCATGGGTGTGTGTGATAGCTGATTTTGTTATCCCTATTGTGTTGCAACGTGGACAAAAGTAGAAGAGATGGTTGTGTTGATTAATGATTAATGTTGATTGTATGACTTTTTAAATATGGATTTTCAGCTTTTGTAGCTGAGAGTCTGGAGCTGGAGTCCTCCAGGGGTAGTACTTATTGTGGTACACACTTCTGCCCAATACCGCTAAGGGATAATAAAAGCTATACACCAGATGTTTTGTTTAGAAAGTGTAGGCCATTGTCTCCAAAGACTGATCTCCTTAATGTTGCATAACTTCTACAATATCCAGATATAAGTGGAGGCCACAATTTAAATACCCGACCTGCTCCAAGGAGCATCCTGCTGCCACACTGCCATGACAACGGGATGAGATGGTGGTATGTGTGTGTGTGTGGTTGTGGTTGCGGTTATTATTGTTCACTGTGGTGAGGAGAAAACCAGATGGTTTCAGTTCCACATAACTTACCTCAGCTGCCTGCCTTCACCTTACACACACACACACACACACACACACACACACAAAATAATACACACTGCAGCCACGGATGAGTCATACAGCAGACTTAGAGATGCATTTCCTCCAATACAAAGACCGATGTCTTTAATTTGTCTTTTAAATGGCTCCTCATTGAGCATTTTGTCTTTTGGACAAGTGAAGCCAAATAGGAGCTTGATTGGTAAACATGTTTTCTTCAGTATTTACTTTTACCTGGTGGAAGAAATACATTCACATTCAGTACTGTGCATTGTCCATAAGGCTTTTTCCTTAGCCTGTTTTCCTGCAGTAGTGTGGTGTGTTTCGTGGTTCCGTTCTCATGGCAGCTGATAAAGGCTGTCACAGCTGGTTGCAGATTAACAGACCTGTGTACAGGCGAGCCGCGCTCTCCACTGTATTTAATTTGTAGGCTGAGAAGAATAATCAGGGGGCTACATACTGTGAATATAGACAAGTTACTGCCAACCCACTCTAATTGGCTGCTAGTGAAAAAGCTGCTTGTTCTTGAATGCAGCGTTGGCTGAGACATTTAACGGTCCCTGGAAAGGTGATATCATGCTTCACCAATTAAAGGCTTTGTGCTTCCTTCCATCTTCACAACTTTGACTCTAACTTCTGAAAGCAATTAACAATCCCAGTCTTGGAGCAGACTAATCAATTAATGGTATTGTACATGTATGTTAGGTCTACATAGCCCTTCCATCCCCTTTTATATTTTCTGACATTTACTCCAGGGAGAGTAAATGAGAGATTTTTGTGTGAGTACATGTCAGCCACTCTGAGCTGTGAGAGGGAACACAACAGAGAGTGATAAAAGGTTGAGATGGAGGGGAAAGGAAGTGTGAGGTGAAGGTAGAGAGATGGCAAAGAAGGAGAAATATGGTGGGAAGGATGCAGAGAAATTAATCTGACTTTTTTCACATATCTGATACATTTCACACAGAGGAGTTTTGATGTCTGAAAAATGGCTTTAATATGCTACATGTCTTATGATGGCTATGCTTGCATTGTCGGATTGGTGCCTTGTGGCACCTTTGATTATTACATGCATGCATTTATACAACTATTTGAAAGCACATCACCGTCTCTCATACAATCAGCAAGGATTTTTCTCTGGATATTCTGGAGAATTAGGAAGTTGCTCTGGCTTAACAGCAAGAACTTAACTTATTTTATATAATGAAAACATGTATGAGTGGTATTAAAGTTAGATAGCCAGCATGTGTCCCCCACTGTCTCACAGCAAAGGACTCTTGTTCAGTTCCTGCAGAAGAAATCAGATTTGACAGACAGTGACCAGCTTCTCAATTGCACAGAATTAGTTTATGTTTCCAGCTGATGTTTATCAAATTGACAGTGATGATGCCATGTCTGTGACATTTCAGCCTATTGGATGAACACTACACAGACATTTCCAGTTGCTCATGTGTGTTGGATATAATCTTATTTATACCTCTAAGAAAATATTGATAATCAGTACAAACATTAGTTTTTTTCCAACTAAGAACGTACAGTTGTTGCCTCTCACTGTGACCACTAGAGAACAATAAAAAATATCCTTTCTGTTTGTCATTGTGTCAGTTTGGTTGCTTTATTTTGAATGTATTTACTGGAATTTAATGCTATCATGTTTGCCTTAACGATTGTATCACCAGTTCTAGCAGGTTAGAAACATTAAAAAGCTGTTGCTAAAAAAGCTCTCTGTATTAGTATGTAATAATTACGGCAACAATTAGTTGCACAAGTCACTATTAATACAGATTTCACTGATTATCAGTGTAACTTAAAGTGTGGGTTAATTGTGTGCTGAAGTTCCCTAACTGTGACCACAGGGGGGCACTGAACACTTGTGATTATGACTGCACTGACTATAATAATTATACTTGTCTTATTCCCATTAAAATGTTTGAGTGATAAGTTATTACATGCATTTGACTTTGTACAATAACATAGCATTGAGGCAAAGCATGCCTGTTGTGCAACATGCAGCAGCATTACTGCACAGACAGTATATTTGCCCACATACAAATAAGAAACCATTACTTAGAAGACTATAAAAGAGATATAATTGCAGTCACCTCAAACAAATTGGATTCCTGCAAGGAGATCAAGCAATTATCTCTTTGAAAAGACCTTAAGGGAAAACCTATATACATATTTTCTTGAAGGAAAGATCTGCGATCAGAAACCGCCTGCATTTTTAGCTGCTCTGTGATCACCCACATACGGTTCTTTTTTAATGGGCAGAACTGTACCACGTCTGCTGGTGTAAACAGACGAGTAGGATGTGCATCAGTGGTGAGAGCAAAAAGGAGATTCTCTGTTGCGTACTGGGCTGTGAGTCACTCTGTCTGAGTCACACACTCACATCAAGGCCTTGATCAAACACAACAAATGTGCCAGTGTCACTGAGAGCAACATTTCAGAGAGTAAATGGTCTGTAATTTCTTGTCAACTATAAATGGTCTGGAAGGTAATAATTAATGTGTGACGTGGATATAAATATTACACAGTAAGGCTGGATTAACCTGGGGCAAAAATGGAACTGCTTTGGCACCTATTAACCCCCATTTGTCCAAACTATCTGTGCACTGTGTACTGTATTTCTTTCCCAGGTTTAGTGTGTGGCAATTTAATTAAACTCTGATAAAAAAAAAAAAAAACACTTTAAGGCAAGGCCTCACGATCAGGTAGTAAATCATTAGTTTGTATTGTGCTTTAATGTAGCATATTCTCAATATTTTTTTTAATTAAACAAGCACAAATAAGACCACAAGGAAGCCCAGAGCTTTCGGGGACTTCTGAGGACCCAGGACAGCTGTTGGCTTTGCCTGGTTGGTAATCAGGAGATTCAACAGAAAGCTTCAGGCAGTACAACCTGATATTGTGAGATGTGAAATCAAACACTGCACCCATGTGGCAGAGAACCACACAACATAATCGTGGAGATTTGTTTGGAGAACACCTGTAAGTTCCTAGTCACGCATAATGAGGGTAAATATTTGCCAACAAAACAAATGTTTCTGTCAAGCTTGACAGTTCAGTCTTAGAAACAGCAGTTTTAAACCACATCACATGGTCTTCATCAGCAGATGTCGCATCGTTGATATGATACAGTGTGATACGGTCAAAAGCCCCAGAGCAGGTGAGTAAGGTGACCTTGAGTTGAGATTGTTTTGTTAACAATGAGCTGTCATGCTCAACTTTAAATAACTATGGGTGAGACGGGAATTTTTCACAACGATCGTTTTATATGGTTGAGAGCCCTGGAACAAGAAGAAAGTACAGTAAGTGGACTTCATAGGCTTTTTCTTCAAGACTTTTCTTTTTCAACAGCACATACTGTATAAATGTACTTCACAAGTGCTAAATGACACTCTACCGATGAAGAACCCTGATTATGTCATCATAACAAAAGGCCCTTTTTAGTTGTGTTATGGGAAATGTAAGATCCAGGTTTTTGGAGCTTGACCCATACAAACTTAAACATTTATATTTACCGGCTCTATTGGCAGACATGGAATATAATATTCATAGGAATGTTTTAATTTGTGTATAATCACCTGAAAATAAAGAATAATTGTGTTGTCGTTACCTTAGAATGAGCTGTTTTAATCGATGCGGAGGAGCAAAACACACAAGTTTTGCAGTCACCATAGTTTCTCCTACAGGCTTGAGTCCCCCAAATATATAAAGGTGCAATAGTAAATCACTGGAGTACTCCTTTAGACATAATGCTGTGTTTGTAGTCCTTGAGACCCCAGGTCCTATTAAACAGCTTGTAAAACAATTTTACATTTTTTCAATGCTTCATGACTTGATTTTAGAGAATTACTAACAAACATGGTTACAAACATTACTTCTGTTTGCTATCACAGAAAAAACAGCTGTAAAACTTGGATTTTCATTTGCTCTATATCTGTAATTGCTCATGACAGTACTTTTTTACACAGAATTACTCCTCCTATATCCAAAATATGCCTATTTCTATTTCTGTTATTATACAAGTTTATTTATAAGAGGTCTAACAGGAAGTAGATATATCATACTCTACACTGTCTGTGAATAACTATTGGAAACCAAAGGAATATATATGTGTGTGTGTGTGTGTGTGTGTGTGTGTGTGTGTGTGTGTGTGTGTGTGTGTGTGTGTGTGTGTGTGTGTGTGTGTGTGTGTGTGTTCATGCTAGCTACATGACATATAAAACACAAAACAAATTCTTTTTTTCTGTGCATTTATTTTGTCATGTTTCATCATATGTGTAAGCTCCGTTGGTGTCAATGGGAACTGTAACCACTGAAGGACTTTTCTACATATGGGATTTAATAGGGACAGTAAGGATTTAAAGGTGCAGTGTCTATTGGCAGAAATTGAATATAATTTTCATAGGTATGTTTCATTAGTGTATAATAGCCTACATAGAATTGCAGGTGGTACATTTGAACTTACTATTTTTACACAAAATTGAGAAATGAATACAAGTAGATTTTGTATTCCAGCTTTATATAGTTTTGTACATAAATACAAAACATAATTCATATGAAAGCATACATTTGACCCGTATTACTCCAGTCTTGATGGCACTATGCGGTTATCATCATCTCGGAATATAGCAAATATGATTATAGCCTCAGAACAGTTGATATAAAGATATAAACGAGGCTACCTAAGGAGCACATTATCTTGCACCGGGTGTGCGATCCGCTGCGTTCCCTTTAAACTATGACGCAGCTCAACTAGTGCCCCACTTTGTTGTGCGAGCAGCAGCAGCGGTCTGCAGGCGTGAGCGGGGCTTGTCGCTGCATACGGCTCTGCCCGGGGACGTCGGTGGTTTGCTGTGCCCTCGCCGCTCTCAATATGGAGTTTTTAATGGGGAATCCGTTCAGCACGCCGTTGGGACAGCGGATCGGTGAGCTAGTTTTCATAGCCATCACACAAATCGTTACATTGTATGAAGCAAATGTGATCAGTGAGGCTCAGTCAGATTTTGCTTTGGAGTCGCCTCCGACACTCACATCTCGATCGAGCTGCCTCTTCATTTTTTTATTATAAGGGGTTTTCGTTGCAGGGGTTATACGAATTTAATGTCAGTACATTAAAATAATGGATCCGAGGTACATTTATTTAGACTGACAGTGGAGCGACGGGTTATGCTTTGATTGACGCGTCCGCTGAACAATGATTTGGCAGAGGCGGGATTTACAGGCTGTGAGGCGCAAATTGATTGGCTGTTACTGTCTCTGTTTAACCTGCCAATAGCTGGGTGGGACACAAAGTGGCCGACATCCTCCTGACCTAAATTAGATAGGACAAGCCTAACGACTGCACATGTGTTTTCATTGACTGATGGAAATCAAGAGTGAGGGATTAAATAAATAGATAAGCAGGTTTTAGGCCCGCAGTATTACTCAGTATGCAAACTGTAGCCTACATCTTTATTTAAAAATACTAAGTACACTTACCCATCTGTCCTATTTCCATATCTATAAATACATTTTTAAAACTGTAATAGTATTTTGTAACAAAATGATAGTATCTCACATCATTTGGTCTCAGATTTAGGACCCCACACAGTGAAAGGATTTAGATAAAAAAAAATAGACATTTGTATAATATATCCCTGTGTGTATCCCTTTTTTGTATGTGTTGTAAGATACTGGATGCTTAGATTTAGTAGTATCTATCTATCTATCTATCTATCTATCTATCTATCTATCTATCTATCTATCCATCTGTCTATCTATCTATCTATTTTATTTTCCCCTATATTTATTGCCTATATTTATCTCTAGTGCACTCAAACACATGACATTTGGGCATTTATACAAATTACTTGTTGCTAAATACTGAACCTTGTTACTCCTGTTTAACTAGTCCTAAGCTTACAGAAAGAGCTCACAATAAAATTCAGATTTTGTGTCATTTACATATATTAAAATGTATAAGTGACCTCAGATTGATCCATGTGGAACACCACACGTCACCACAAACTTGATTTGTAGACTATTTTGTGTGTTTGTCAAAATACAGTGTAACTATTGTGAAGTGTTGATTATTGCATTGTGAGAAACATATAATAATCATTAGTAAATGACTAAATCATCTTTTTAATAATCATTAAGGCAAGCTATTATAATCCTGAATAAACTATGAATTACTACACCATTTCTTGTAGTCAGTTGTTTTATATTACTTAGCAGTGACCTATTTTTTACAGAGAGTGCCACCAGTTCCAGCCTGCCATCAGAAGACTGGGCCCTCAATATGGAAATCTGCGACATGGTCAACAGCTCAGAGGAAGGGTGTGTGTTCATCTGTGTGTGTGTTATCTAGCATCAGGAACAGACTAGTCCTCTGGAGGATACATGCCTGTGACTGTTGAAAATTTTCTGATTACAGACCCAAAGATGCAGTCAGAGCGATAAAGAAAAGGATTATGGGGAACAAGAACTTCAAGGAGGTTATGCTTGCGCTCACCGTGAGTGTCATTCACCCTTTTTGACTCAGATTATGTTCTTATTTTATGGTTTGAGTGGTAAAATATAGCCCCTTTCTGCTCCTTCTGATGTTAGGTCCTGGAGACTTGTGTGAAGAACTGCGGCTACAGGTTTCACATCCTGGTAACGACACGGGATTTTGTAGAGGGGGTTCTGGTCCGGACAATAATCCCAAGAAACAACCCTCCATTAGTCCTGCATGACAGAGTGCTTAGTATTGTACAGGTAAAAAATGCCACATTACATGTTTGTCAACTCTGTAGCACCATGGGGAAATATTCTGGTTGTTGTCATGTTATAATCAGTCTTGGTGTTGTCATATTGCTCTACTGTAATAATTTGTGGTTTGCTCTCGTCAAGGCGTGGGCTGATGCATTCCGTAGCTCACCCGACCTGACGGGTGTGGTGTCGGTGTACGAAGACCTGCGAAGGAAAGGACTTGAGTTCCCCATGACAGAACTTGATGGTTACTCACCCGTCCAAGCCACACAAAAGGTACAAACATGGCTGGTACACTTACTGCTGATATTGGGGTGCTACTTTGTCTAGTTCTATCATCTTAGGCACTTTTTCTTTTCGGGTCATTTTGGTGCCTTTGCTTACCAGACTTTGCCTGGGAACGGTCCTACTGTCACTACTCTGCCTGCTGTGCGCCTATCTTCTAAACCTCCGCTCATCCCACCCCAGACTTCAGAGCTAAAACTGGCCCTAGAAGGAACCAATGCCTTCACTCCCAGCCAGGTGATGGTCTTGCTGCACTTGAGACAGATATTTAGTGTTTAAATCGCACTGTATTAATATTAATCACTGGTATTTTTCTATGTTTTTTCCACGACTCCTTTTTCTATCTATGTTTTTCTATTCATTTTGGCCTCCAACACATATGAAAACAATGTGCGCCATTTGCATTTTACCTGTTTGTATTCAGTAAATTATCTTGATATTCCAGATTCAAAAGCTGAAGACAGAGCTGGGAGTGGTGCGAAGCAACCTGACTATGATGTCAGACATGATGAGTCAGCTGGATCCTGTCACGGTAAAACAAGCAGACATGGAGCTGCTGGAGGTAAAAAAAACAAAAACACAGACTCTTTATTAATGTAAAGTACTTTATGCAAGAAAATCTAACCATCCATCCATCCATCCATCCATATTGAGTAACAGTGCGTTACCCTTAACTGATCTAGTACTTTGTATATTTTGTGTTGCATCTGCCCCCTCAACCCCCCCCCACCCACACATTCTTTGTCTAATTGTGTCATTAGCAGTTATACACAGTATGTAAGGACATGCAAGAGAGGATAGTGAAGATCGTCCCCAGACTCAGTGAGGAAAAGTTGATTGAAGAGTTGCTGGCAACCAACGATGAGATGAACACCGCCTTTACTCGTTACCATAGGTCAACTACATTTATTATCATTATACTGCCTTATTTATGAATAAAATACATGGATGGTAATCTTCCAACAGGTTCTATTTGTCTATTTTATGATGATATCGTTTTGTCCTGCTGTTTACAGGTTTGAAAGACGGTTAACAAATGGTCCAAACACAGCCCAAAAGGTAAAGCAGGCAATCATTTTTAAATTGGTTTGTTGTAATTTTATGAAATGGTTGCATCATGGACTCAATTTATTACTCTTTGTCTCTCAGAACCACACATACGTCAACCTAACGGAGCTCGATTTGACAGCTGAGTCTCTTAGCCAGTCAAGGGTTGCATCAGTTAGCAATGACAACTCACTCAGTCAGTCGAAAGCTGACAGTTTGTCCAGTCAGATGGCAAGACTGAGTAAGTGCTCCAGTCTTAATACATACCTACATACTGCACGTGTTCGGCACCTGTACTTATTCTGTGTACTGTAAACTTGTTGCTGTTCTTCTTGCAGGTACAAGTGAATCAGATGGCACATTATCGCAGAAAATCAATATCCCAGCTCAGCAAAGACCAAGGTAAAGGAAGTTTATAAATGATAGTTTAAATGACTTCTAAGACTTGCACTAACACAAGTTGCAAATTAATATTAACCCATTGAGAGTACATGAAAATATATTAGGGAAGCTAGTTAGCAAGCAAGCAGAGAAGTCTAAACAGTTGGCTAAAAATAATGAATACATATTTGAAATAATTATAGCTAAAAGTAATGAAACCATAACATAACATAACAATGACTTTGAAAACATTCATCAGATGTCCCTCACCTTCTGACTGGATCAAATTAAATGTTACTAATGTTGTAAAAGTTGCTTAAAATATCTCCTTACATAAGGTTACATAAGGTCACACTGTAAAGTGGTATTGGGTGCGGTATCAGAGTGATTACAATTACAGTACTATTACATGAGCACAGCATTGGACCCAATACCCGATACCGGTATCTGTATTGGTTAGCTAAAAGTAATGAATAAACATTTGGAATTGTTAGTTAAGTTATATGAATTATTTGAACACATTGTTGTAACAATATCCACTTTTACATATCCAGTAACAGGAACACAATTTGTTCACGGTGGTGTAAAGGGCACTTGAGTTGATCTGGTGCGGTACATCTGATTACATTTGGAGCCACTGAACTAAAAGAAATGTTAGGAATGTAAGAATGCATGGATATCGAAACAAATTCCTCTGATTTGTTTTATCACAAGTTACAGTCACAATCTTACGCAGCAGTCATGCAGCCCGAGCAAATTCTCAGGAATGGCATTTGGAAAGATGTTGATCTTTGTTTTGGAGTTTAATTCTAACTCATTCCTTCTAATTACTTTTTAACATATGTGCCAATGTTTGACATTATTAGCTTACATGTCAGTTAACCAATGTGTAAATCTTGTGTTTCAGCGAGCGGAGTGACGTTGCGTTCGACGGCCTGGCTCAGGCTCAGGACAGCAGACTACTGAACACAGGAACGGTAAGCAAAGATGCCAAGTAGTTCAGGTTTTACACAGTTTAGTCACAAAATGTATTGGCTGACATCACTGAATATTTCTCATGCGTAATGTGACCCACTAGAAAATTGGTGTGGAATTTGCATATTTGGCTTAAGAAACGTTTCTCACCTTTGCAATAAAAAACAAAGCTCACTGTATAGATATTCAAGGTATTTTACACAATGTCTGAGCAGTATTATTTGTAGGAGGGAGGAGAGAGTTTCCGTGAGTTTCAGTCGAGAAATAGTACAATGGTACAATAGCACGGCATATAAAAGCAACCATGGTTGAGTGAGTTTGTATGTTGCTTTGTCTCAGTAACTGTTTTTTTCTTAAATTAACTTTCTGTCTGTGCATGAAGGATGGCAGCCCAGCCTCCACCTGCAGCTCCTCTCCAAAGTTAGATTGGATGATTAAAAGGGGAATGGTGGGTCTGTGTCCAAAATGTGTCCTGGTTTTTGTTATTGATTCACCTTCCCATACTCTCTGTCTCTTGGTTTTGTCATGAGGTTGCAATTTACTTTTTGGTCTGGATTTCTTTAGTTTGAATCCGTTTTTGGGTTTGGTGGTTCAGTTGTGGTGATGAAATGCAATGGTTTGCATGCTTTTATATGGGGTGAAGTTGTTTTGGTTTTTTTGGAGTTTACTTTTGTGCCTATGCCCATCACAGAGCATGATAATGTTTGGGTCATCATATCTGTCATGCTTTGTTTTCTGACTTGTGGTTGTTCTTTTGTGTTTGTTTATGCATTTTGTGGTTTGGTAGCTTTGTTACATCTTCATACAGTTTTACCAGGTATTATATTTTACTGCGCTGACCATCTTGGTGCTCTGCTTTCTTTAGATTCCTATCAACCAGTCCACTGTAATGGATGATATTGAGAAATGGCTAGCGTTGGATGATGAGGTAAATGGCTGGATTACTAACTTTACTTAAAATAAGTAAATAAATGTAATAACTGTATTATTTGTGTTAATTTCTTAATTCACAAAAATATAATTCTGGTTAGTTTCAACACATTTTCACTTCTGAGTTTCTCTCCTGTAACTCTGCTCTACAGTTGATCCCAGAAACTGAATTAAACGTCTCTGTACTGCATATTTTGATTATCCATTGCCTGAAACCTGAAAAGGAGAAACTCATTTCCTTTTAAAAATTAACTGTAATAACTTTGGTGGTTCATTAACATTCATTGTGTCATGATTAGGTCAGACTTTTTATTTGGCCAATACTTTGATATAGCTCAGCTGTAATTTGTGTTTCATACTAATTAGATAATTTAGCATGCTAATGCACTAAACTAAGATGGTGAAAAATATCAAGCAATACATAAAAATGATCTGATCCAAACAAAGAAATTACCATTTAACTATATTTGTCTTTTAACTGCACAAGTTGTGTGTGTATATATATATATGTGTGTGTGTAAAATATATATTTTCTGTTTGTGGCACAGTATGATGACTTTGAGGATTCAGATGGTGTTACCAGTGAAGGTGAGAGTCTTTGCAGTATACATGTTTTTAAAAGGAGCAGCTTATCATGCATTATTTGGCATTCATGAACATCTGAAGCACCCGAGGAGTTGTTAATGTTAAACCTACTGTATATTTGGTGTGTTTGTTATACATTACATTGCTAGTGTAGTGTTCACACTTGGGCAATTTGTTGTGCTGAACTGACTAGCTGTACTTGAAGCTACAGGCTGAATTTTGCACTACTTTTGTCTTACATAAATATATTAAACTCTAATTTCTACCCATCTGTCTCATATCTGCTGCTAGCTATTTCTGCATTTGAGCCATAGGTGGCACTGAAGCCTTAACTGGGCATGTGGTGCCATATACTACCCCTCTTCAGACCAGCACATAAACTACACACAGCTTTCTACTATTACTACTATTGAGACTGCTGCCTTTTTTATGTGACGGAACAGAAATTAAGTAATTCTGGTAATGAATCAGTTCAGCATTACTTTTACTTACTTTTACATTACTCCTTTTACTACTACTACGAGAACCACTAACTTCACTATATTTAACAACTAAACACTACATGGTGCAGTTGAGAGTATTCAAAAACTAGTTTGCTAATCTAAACAGTTAAAAGGATTAATGGTTGAAATAAACAACTTCAAGTATTGGATGAACAGTTAAATAGCTAAAAATAACAGATTTGGAAAATGACGGCTGGTGTTGATAAAGGGTACTTGAACTTATCTGACAGGATTGTGGGGATACATTAGACAAAAAAGGTTGTGACCTACTACTGTAAACAACAGGCACAACTCACAGATGTCTGAATCCACGTTATCAGTATAAGTCCAAGGTTGTAACTTGGAAAACTCTCTTCTGGTATTTTTCTCATTTATTTATGATGAACACTAGCATCCTTTTATACAGTCCGTACGCTGCTTTCATTTTTTTCTTTCCTACTCCTTTATCCCATGAATACGTTATCTAACCCTGCTTCTCTCCCTCTACAGAGTTCGACAGGTTTTTGGCTGAAAGAGCAAAAGCCGCTGAGCGCCTGCCATCGGTGAGAGCTTCCTCACAGGATACCAACCACTCAGAGTCTTAAGCCTCACTTTAAACCGGCCAAACTAACAATACTCATGAAGCTCTCGCGCCATCGGCTGAGAAGTTCTTTTAGCTCAATGGTTGAATGGCACATTTGACATGGGAATAACAACCCATATCTGAGGAAGGATGTCATTGCTGTGTAAACTGCTCTTTACTGGGGGAGCAATGTTGTTTTATAACTGATAAAAATTGTTGTTATTTGATGAAGGACGGAGGTTTTTACTTGACATTGTTATGAGGGTTTGTCCATGTGTGGAATGCAAACATTTGCACATTTTATATGGTTACATTCCTGCTGTTGAAAGAGAAAGAGCATATTGTTACAGAAACCTTTTGCAACAGATTATGTATTATATTGCTGAAAAATATATGTTGTCAAACGTGGTGATGGGTTACAGAAAACGCCCCTGTCAAAGTAGCAAACACTGTAAACCTGTAAGCTCAGCTGTTACATAATGAAATAGTTTGATGCTTCACGTGTTTATTGATGTAGGGTGTCAAAGAAAACTGAATGGATTTTGTTTTTTTACATCCACTATTCCCTTGTGAAGACGTCTTACTTGAAGTTTAACAGGAAGTCATGACAGACTGCTGTCAGATATTAAACTAAAACTATTAACTGGAAGTCTGGCTGTTATTATTCTAACCTCAAGGTGCAGAGCATTACGCTTTCTTACTGTATAATCCAATTCATGGCTTTGCAGGTATGGGCACACTGCAAATCCTTTTTAATTCCTGTCTGTTGGTAAGTATATTGGACTTATGGCTTTGGTTTTACTTAAATGGCACAAGAGACATTTTCAATAGACATACCTCCATAGATTAAGGTGCACAACACCTTTAACATCACATACTCATATGAGGGGACAATTCTATGTTAAACGATTTGTGATTATCAGAGTCTACCACTGCAGTTGAACCTGGCAGGAGCGGATCTAGAAAAATATTCATGGGGTGGCATGGAGACTTTTAAGGGGTGGCAGAAATATATGCTGATTTAAATATCAATATCAATATTTGCTTGGACACGCCCTCAAATAAAGATGAGCTCTTGTAAAAACAACATTATTGTGGCATATAAGTAAAGCACTGAACATCCAATTACATGTCTTTTAAAAACTGAATTTCAGCCTATTACTGAGTCTAAAATGTGGCAAAAAAATTCTGATTTCTAACACTTATTACTTTATAAAAAAAATATTTGACACTAAACTGGGTTGGCAGCTGGGGTAGCCAGGCATTTTTTAACCACCCCTCAGGGTCAGTGTGTGTGTGTGTGTGTGTGTGTGTGGAAAGGGTAACAATGGCACCCAAACACAATGTATTTGTCTTAGAGGTGTTATTAGTTAGAGGTGAAGTAGTTCTGATTAAATAAATAAGGCTGAAAGGAAGTAAAACATTGTAGCAGTTTATATTAGGCAACACATGCCACCATAGTAAAACTAAACCAGTAAGTAAATACTCTCTGAACTCTGATTGGACAAAACAAGCCACCTGGCAAGTGCTCTGCCCTCTGATTGGCCCATCGCACATACGCCTCCACTTGTTACATGACGTAGCCACGCCTCGTCGCTGATCTTTACGTCCGGGGCTCCTGCACGTTTGACACCTTTTTAAACACACGTCCTCACCGTCATGTCTCTCGGAAAAGCTGCCCGGAGTTTGGTGAACCCGGTCCGGGGCTTCCTGAGGCCGTGGGCCGCCGCTGTGAGCCGGAGCTACGCCGCTGCCGCTGAAGCCAGAGCGGTGCTGGAGAATGAGCTCGAAGGTATCCGAGCGGCGGGGACGTGGAAAGCGGAGAGGATCATCACGTCAAAGCAGGGTCCTCAAATCAACGTGGACGGCAGTCGGAGCAGTGAGTGGTAGTTTAGTAGTTTACAGTAACAGCTGGTATAAATACGTGGTAGCAGTGAGACCTAAGTGACTGTCCTTAAACGCACCACGAGGTAGAAAGTCTACCTAGAAACGTTGTTGTTGCTAGGTCGCTCTCCACGGTGTTATTATCTTGTTGAACTTGACTCAAACTTCAGTGGTTGTAACGGTATTGGAGGACGCATGCTCACTGAGGTCCTGTTACACACCGCTGAGGTTATTGACAGGGTTGAACTCTCTCCAGGAATGCAACACACAACTTTTCAGAAAACATAAGATTCAAGCTAATGATGAGACAGCACAATGCAAATGTGATGTAATGCTTATAACATCCACAGGAAAACAGTTATAACCTTGACTTCCATTACAAAAACAGGGAACATGCTCAGATGTGTAATGAATTGCACACAGAAGCAGCTAATCTCGAACTTGTTTGCTGTTCTGCCAGCAAAGCAGAGAGCCAGTGTTTACACTTCAGAATGAACCTTTGCCAAAGGTTGACCCTGCTGATTTATGGACGAGCCATTGATTTTGGGTCAGGACCCCTCGTGTGTGAAATTGACTACCTCGCAGTCCCGTGCATTGTTATTTCTGTCACTCTTTGTTCTGGTGTGTTGGCTCCATTGTATTGTTTTTGTCTCTTTCCACTTTCTATTGCAGGGTTTGAGTTGCTCACAGTGGTTATTGTCTGTGATTTGAATTGGAAAGCATGCTTCAATCTGTGTGTGTGTGTGTGTGTGTGTGTGACTCCCTCTCTCCCTCAGGCATATTGAATTTCTGTGCCAACAACTACCTCGGACTGTCGAGTCATCCAGAAGTGGTGCAGGCGGGGATCGATGCTCTTAAGTTATATGGTGCTGGATTGAGCTCTGTCAGATTCATCTGTGGCACACAGGTATGATGGCTGATTCGCCACTCCATCAGCATGTTAACACGTACAGATAACAACATGTACGTGCCTGTGTTACAGAGTTGACTCTTGTTACTTCTAGGATATACACAAACATCTGGAGAATAAGCTAGCAGAGTTTCATCAGAGGGAGGACTGCATCCTGTACGCCAGCTGTTTTGATGCCAATGCTGGACTGTTTGAGGTATGTCATACTTTACGCGCCGCTGTCTCCAGCAGAGAGAAAGCATCCCCCTGTTACGTTCAGTAAAGTATCATATTACTCTCACGCCAGGTTCTCTTGGGCCCAGATGACGCAGTGCTGTCTGATGAGCTAAATCATGCCTCCATCATCGATGGGATACGTCTGTGTCGGGCAAAGAGGATGCGCTACAAACACATGGACCTCAGTGATCTGGAGAAACAGCTCAAAGAGTCTCAGGTGTGTCTTCCTGTGCAGTAGCACAAGAACGTGAACCAATATTATTGGAATATTATTACATGTTTATGCTGCTTATATAATGTCTTTGACAGAAGTGAGTCATATTTCTATCCTTGTGTTAATCAAATATTCAAACGTGTTCGCAGTGTGCAGGGACTTTAGAAAACTATTGTGAGTGTGTTCTATGGGAGGTGTTTAAGCTTCAGTCTTTAAAGGGACATTGTGTAGGAGTTTCTCCCATCTAGCGGTGAAATTGTATTTTGCATTCAAACGAATAGTGCTCTCTAATGCCTCGGGTTTTCAAATGCGTATTGCAACTACGGTAGCTGTTATGTACCAAGAAGCCTGCCTGTCGAGGAGAAAGCAGGCAACTTCAGCGTCCCTTTGAAAGTCTTTCTCCTTCATTAGCTCTTTCCACCTGGGAAAAGCTACCCCGATGTTTACCTTCGTTTTTTGAATTCTCCGGTCACGTTGCCTTTTTAATTCCCTTTTTCCCTTTTTCTGCGACGAGGATTCCTTCTCCTGTGGCTCGGCATAAGTATGATCCTCGATTATTAACTAAAGTGCAGTGCAGACTTTCAAATGTGCCGGGGCAGTGACAAGTGCCTCTCACTGATCTCCTTCTCCGTTATAGCTGGTTTCAGTCCTGTGACGCTGGCTCTGCACACGCGTTGTGGATTAGCTAGACAGGTAGGCTAGTGCTTTATGTCCCTCTCGGCGATTGTAGTTTTTCAAAACGGCGGAACGACGTGGAAGCCTCCATGGACTTGCCCGTCCAATGTATATACAGATAAGAAATTCTACGAGGATAAGTCAGATCATTGGCAGAGGTCATTTTACACCAATGAGGACACATTTATGAATGAAGACATTGATTTTAGCTAATAAAATACTTAAAACACTACACAATGTCCCTTTAAGCATTAAATCATGTGCACATTACTAAGAATTTTGATTCCACTGTTACTATAACTGCATTACGTGCATTGCAAGAACAGAAAACAAACAGACATAGCAACAGCGACTTAGAGGGCATAGCAACCAGTAACTGACTTACTCTGGCTTGATAATTCCCAGTTCTTCATTAGCATACGTTGCATCATTTGCTGCACCTTGAGGAAGCACTGATATTAGATAATAAGACGTGTCAGCAGTAATGATCCATGCTCACCACCAACAGTATTTTATGGACTCAGAAGAGTTCACACAGGTCAATAGGTCATAGCATGTCCGTTTGAGGTTCACGGTGCATTAATCCCATATTACTGAGGTGACAGGGTCAGGTAAGGGTTACAGTATTGATTAGACTGTGACAGGACCTGTGTGTGTGTGTGTGTGTGTGTGTGTGTGTGTGTGTGTGTGTGTGTGTGTGTGTGTGTGTGTGTGTGTAGAGAGATCATCAGGACTCTGTTTTGTCCTCCTCAGTCATCACGTATGCGCCTGATAGTGACGGATGGAGTCTTCTCTATGGATGGAGACGTGGCTCCCTTAACAGGAATCTGTGACCTTGCTGAACAGTATGGAGCCATGGTGTTTATAGATGAATGCCACGCCACCGGCTTCCTGGGACCCCGGGGCAGGTGGGTAAGATTCCGATTAACCCAACAATGCGAAAGATCAATTTCTCTGTTGCCTTTTTTTAATGCTGTTTTATTTAAGTTCGTTAATGACATCATGTCTAAGTTCAATCTTTTTGTTATAAAAATAATGACCCTAACCTCATAATTAAATTAAAAAAGACTTATGCTTGTTTGCTTTCTATCCCCATTTGTAGATATTTGTGATTACAACAACTTTCAAATTATTGTAACAGCATGAAAAAGGTCATGCCCAGTGAAAATGAGTTGCCATCTGACACAGTTGTAACAGTGTGTTGATACGACCAGTAGGTGTCACCAAAGTAAAAAGTCCTAAGCATAGGGGCTTTAGTAAAATCAAGCTTTATACTTTACTGTCATTATGAGGGGATAAACTAATGGTACTACTCTCTGTGATTTGCAGAGGAACAGATGAGCTCCTGGGAGTGATGGACAGAGTTCACATTGTTAACTCCACCCTGGGGAAAGCACTGGGAGGAGCAGCTGGTATGTTTCCATCTGTGTGACTTTGATAACATATACATATGTACATATATAACCTATAGCTTTAAAGCTGCATTGATTATTCTACTACAAGACAAAAAACACAATATCTTCACTTCCGAGTGGCTAGTGACGATCTGCCGTTTGGTGCTGGGCGGGTGGCGCACAGTGGGTTTATCAGCTGAAAATGGGGTTAACAAAACTTGAATTTACCAAAATGTCAAACTAAGTGCTATTATGGTACTACTACACAGTATGTAACTGCTCCATGCCAAATCAGTCTTTCTTTCATATAAATATTTTCATTCAGGTGGCTACACAGTCGGCCCTAAGCCTCTCATTGACCTGCTGAGGCAGCGCTCGCGGCCGTACCTGTTCTCCAACTCCCTCCCCCCTCCTGTGGTGGGCTGTGCCACCCGGGCTGTGGAGCTGCTGCTCGCCTCCAGTGAGATCGCACAGAGTATGACAGCGAAAACCATGAGGTGCATTTCTTCTAAGGGAGGGGGGGTGAGGGTTATCTGCCTGTGTGATTTTATTGAAAACATGCACGTGTCAGTTAGCAGGCTTCTTGTTTATAGCCAGCGCTGACTGTTCTTCACACACGTAGTCCTGAAATATAATCTCTCACCGACACACACACACACACACACACACACACACACACACACAGGGCTTATAGACAAGTAAATGTGGAGAGATGGAAAAGTGATGAGCTGCCACGTAGCGTACATTCTCCATACTGTGGTCTTTGCTGGCCACCCACTGGTTTTTCAAGTCCAAGTCCCTACTGCCTGAGCTACTGCCTATCAAAGGTCTTTATCTTGTTCTTGAACAGCAATCACATTTGTTCTGGCAGCAGGGTTGTTAAATAGGCGTTTCCCATCTTGTTTTTTTGACCTTGTTCAGTAACGCCCACATGCTGCCTTCTGGCCATATTATGCAGTTTCTACACCGTAGATAAAGCACACATATTAAATCACATGTTTATCAATTGTACCCAAGGAACAAGCACACATGTTACTGCCTCATGTGTTTATTTATACTGAGACAGAGCGCCTATACCTAAACTTGGACATATCCCTGTTTAGCTGTTCCAAAACATTCTACTATTCAGGTTTGCTCACACACAAAAGAACAATGCGATTGGTGCGTGTATAGTTACACAGCCATCCTCCTGTAATTGTCACTGTAATATTTCTTGTATGACATCCTTTCAGATTCAGGAACAGGATGACGCAGGCTGGCTTCACCATTGCAGGCTCAGCTCACCCCATCTGTCCTGTGATGCTGGGCGATGCGCGGCTGGCCTCTCTGATGGCCGATGATATGTTGAAGCTAGGTGAGACGGCAGGGAAAACCGGATCCACTGGGCTGAGAACACCTGAACCTATGTGTCCCCATTTACACCTGGCCCTTAAATTCAGCCTTACTCTGCACTGTGTCCTGATGTGACTGAAACACACTGCATTTAGACTTGGTAGTAAGATGTGTGTCTGGTTAGCCAGTGAATTAGTTAGATAAATGACTGGAACAGGTGAAAGTAGTTAGTTAAAAGGTAATGCATAAATGGCTGAAATATAGTTTATATATAGTCTATGGTCCAGCCAAGCATGTCTCCTGTGCTTGTGTTTGTGAAGTCGCTTTCTCTTTTAGTTTGATCCTGAATGGCAGCTATGTGAGACACGCATCAGAGGAGAGTCAGTTGTTATATGATGCTTGGATGAGGCTGTACAGATATAGTTTCTAGCTATAATCCTTCTGAGTGAGCCTTTGGCCATAACATTTCCAACAAATTTTTGATTTGTCTTCAGTGCATTTACAACTGCATTATGTTTATTACTAGATATAGACCTATGAAACATACTCTTACTTAAAAAGTGAATCATGTTTACCACTAGAGGTTACAAGCCATAGCAGTAGAGATCTATTTCCCATAACAGGTAATACAGCAATTATTGGTAAAATGATGTTTGAATTAGATATCAACCACTAGAGGAAGATTACATTACATTAAATGACTTCAACATCAGTGCTGGACTTGAGAACAGCTGATGAACCATCTTGGCTACCATAGAAAATGTTCAAGCTCTGCTGACGCATCTCTTCCCTCCTCAGGAGTGTATGTGATTGGATTCTCCTACCCAGTCGTACCGAAGGGCAAAGCCAGAATCCGCGTTCAGATATCAGCCGCCCACACCGACGAGGACATCGACCACTGTGTCGACGCTTTCATCCAGACCGGCAGGAAGCACGGAGTCGTCTCCTGAATAGGACAAACAATCCGGAATGAGAAAGATTCAGTAACCGGGATGAGTTACCGAACAGCACCGAACCGCTTGCTCTTACAGATCATGTTGCCTGTTACCTACGAGACCTACGAGTCACGCTGATGGAAATATTAGTTACATTTGTAGCTCAACAGAGGTTAATGTTATTTTTGTGTTTGCTTAGCTGAATAAAGCACTTTTGCTAACATGTGGAGGTGTTTATATTTGGAGAAAAAGGGCTGTTAAGAGCGAGAAAATGTTTCTATCAAATGCTTTTGATAGTTTTTTAGGTTAGTTATTTCATCAACAGATTTTGATTTTAATGATTGTGAGGATAGTCTCAAGTTAATAATGCAACTAGTGATATAACTCACATTATCAGCCTTTATTAGAATCAACTAATAACTCATCCATCAAAACCAGTGAGAACTGGGACTCTGCTTATGTTTACTAGTTAATTTGAATTTAAATTGTGAATGTATTTATTTGAGAGGGATAATGCAATTTAGAATAGTTCCAAAACAGGAGTTTATAGATTTTGCTCATTTGTCTAGTTGGGCTTTTACAATTTTTTTGTGAGAGAAAAGATTTTTAGGAGTGAAGGAAAATGCTTATGTTCTCATCCCCAACATTTCAGGAATCTGACAGTATGGACTTTAATAACGTTTAAGCAGCCAAATATCATATGCTGTCTCTCAACTCATGCTCTCCTCTGTAGGAGAGCTGCTTTGCCTTTTCTCCCCCAAGAGATGCAACCACACATTTGTAAATTCTGGATATGGAAGAATATAAAATATTAAAGTCCGCCTTCACTCAGAAATATGTTCTGCCTCTGCTTTCTTCACTTGATTGAGTTTCACTGTGCAAAATGATATATGTGTGGGTTTTGAATCCAGAAGTTTGTGACATTTTGTGCTCACCTTAAATCTGAGTTTATGACGTGCGCCCACAGACGTTACAACTAGTTTGGAAGCAAATCGTGGTCCAATATATGAAACTTAGTGTGATGTGGAGATATGAAACCTTCAGTGTGCATATACTGAGAATGGCCTTTGACATGTTGTATCTATTGGTTAAACTTTTGTTATGAAGAATATTTGCACATTCATAGATTTTTGTAGTGGAGAGAAGGTAAATATAAACAAGCCAGTACACAAATTATTATTCAAAGCTGAGCTCTGACCTTTATATACTGCCAGTGGTTCTGACTGAAAACATCTTGCAGGACTTTGAATCACAGTCTGATCATCTGTAGCTATGGCTGTGTACCATCTGTCGTTTCACAAACAAAAAACTGACCTATCTGACAATTATTGTCCTTTAACTCCCGGTTGTGAAAACAGAGTACTCTATAAACCCTGTCCACAAAGAGAGCTCGCCTGAAACACAGCGTGAACACTTATTGAGAGCGATACAACTGTGTTTTATTCAGCTCTGATCGCAGTGAGGACTTTAATCTAACGTTGTGTCCATGCTTCTTCATTGTGGCACACTGCTGCTGACACTTCCGCTCCTCCTCCTCCTCCTCTTGTCTTTTTCGCGCCATTCGTGCTCACAAACTCCGCCTTTACATCTAAGACACGCCCCCCCGGTGGAGTCGTTGTGACCAATGGCATCGGGCGATTATTGCTTCCAGCCAATCAGAGGACAGGAGAGGGGCGTGTCGACAAGCGACTCGCGCGAAACAGACAGGAAGGAGTTCAGTTTTTGCCGCGAAACGGATCCTCCGAGCAGCTTTGTCTCTGGCAGTTTACGTCCATCGTGTTTGTTTCTTTTAACTAAGAGAAACTCGTCCACCGACCTGGTTCAACATGTCTGGCTTTGACGACCCGGGAGTGTACTACAGTGACAGCTTCGGAGGGGGAGAGGGACCCGGTGTGGATGAAGGCGGACTGAAGAGGGTCCAGATCAAGAAACGGTTCCGTGAGTTCCTCCGGCAGTTCAGAGTGGGCACCGACCGAACCGGGTTCACATATAAATACAGGTGAGTTCATCCACACAAAACATTTAAAATATGGATGTTTTTAAAAAGGGAGTGCAAGTGTGTGAATGTGTGGACCTCATGGAGCAGACCCCATATTAGAGCCCACCTATTTTATATGTGCAGTTCAGCCTGTGGATCTAAAGGGAGACATTTAAGTGATAAAATAACCCTGATGATGGCTTTAATTTAGGCTTGAAACTGAAAACATTCGGTCTACAGTACAGAGCAGAGGGTCTAAAGAAAGAAGCTATGGATTGGCACTATGGGAAATGTAGGATCCAGCATTTCTGGAGCTTGAGCTGCAGCACAGAATAAGTCACATCTCTGCTTCATATGCTTCTATTATAATACCATCGTCTGTCTCTTATGAGCTGTTAGCTAATAATCTGCCATTAAAAGTAAGTAGTAAATGGCTAATTCTGTGTCTTTTGGCTGCTTTTGTCTAATTAACACGTCTAACTTTGAATATTTTTACTGTTCTTTCTGATCTTTTGTCACTAAACTTAAGCTAAAGCTACAGTATCTGTATTTGACATGACTTTATACCTGCTGTTCTTTTGTTCTGAGCAAGGATGTGTACAAGGCCAGACTAATGTTGCCAGAGCAACAGCCCATTTTCCCTCATTGGCCCCTCCGGAGAGGAAAAACATTAGTAATTGTTCAATTTTTGCTGTTGTGAGTGCATAAATACAAGTAACCCATGATTGCTAGTTAGTTAAACCCAATTAAATCACCATATCATCCAAACTATTATATCATCCTACTAGTTTTTGATACACAGAAATTGGGCTAAACATGCCCTGTGCCCCTGTCATGTGACACTAAAGCATCCTCGCCCCCTTTTCAGGCCCTCAGAATGTCCCTGGTTCTTGGGGTATGAGAACATTGTTCATTTTTTAATGTTTTTATTTTGTTAATCAGAGATGAGCTCAAGAGACACTACACCATGGGGGAGTACTGGGTGGATGTGGAGATGGAGGACCTTGCCAGCTTTGACGAGGACCTGTCGGACTGTCTCTACAAGCTGCCTACTGAGAACCTGCCGCTGGTGAGACTAAAACTAACGTACAGCGTGAAACATCACTTACCTCAAGTTGTCTGACCCCTTCACAAAAATCTTAAACTAAATTTCACACCGCTGTTGCCATGTTTACTGTGATCACTTACAATTTTGGTCTAATTTACAGCTGGAGGAAGCTGCGAAGGAGGTCGCCGATGAAGTGACCCGTCCCCGGCCTGTAGGGGAGGAGACGGTCCAGGATATCCAGGTCATGGTGAAGAGTGACGCGCATCACGCTTCAATTCGCGGCCTTAAGGTACCTACACACCCATTCCCTAACGCTCATATTCTCATCGTTACCATCGACCGCTTGATCTCATTTTGTCATTCCTCTCCCCCCTGCAGTCCGAGCAGGTGTCTCGTCTGGTGAAGGTAAACGGCATCATCATCTCGGCCACACCGGTGAAGGCAAAGGCCACCAGGGTGTGTCTGCAGTGTCGCGGTTGCCGTGCCGTCATCAACAACATCCCCCTGCCTCCGGGCCTACAGGGCTACGCTCTGCCACGCAAGTGCAATTCGTGAGTATGACTGTCTGGATCGAGGACGCAATAGGAATAAATGAGCATTTCTAAACGTAAGGATGCAGACATCATGTGTAACGACTTCTCTTGTGTCCTCAGTGACAATACTGGAAGGGTGAAGTGTCCCGTGGATCCCTACTTCATCATCCCGGACCGCTGTGTTTGTGTTGACTTCCAGACTCTCCGCCTGCAGGAATCTCCAGATGCTGTGCCTCATGGAGAGATGCCCCGCCACCTGCAGCTCTACTGTGATAGGTGAGGATCACGTTCTGAAGGAAACACATTAAACCCAGGGGAGTGTTTTCTGCAGCTGGGCTTTTACATAACTAGAAATGTAAAGGATTGTAACTGTTATCCTCCTCTTCCTCCTACTCTCTCAGGTATCTCTGTGACCGCGTGGTCCCAGGCAACAGGGTGACCATCATGGGTATCTACTCCATCAAGAAGATGGCTGCTGCAAAGACCAAAGGGAGGGAGAAAAGTGCTGGTGTGGGCATTCGTGCGTCCTACCTGCGGGTGGTTGGCATCCAGGTGGACACAGAAGGGGCAGGTAAAGATGAACGTGTGCATTAAAACGCTGTATGTAATTGCTGTGATATATACGATCCGGAAAAGTTGAAGGAGTGATTATATAGGACCCAGTCTGATGATGATTTTTTTTTCCCAGGTCGTGGTGCTACTGGCTCGGTCTCTCCACAGGAGGAGGAGGAACTGAGAGTGCTCGCTTCTACTGCTAACATCTATGACTCTCTGGCCCGCTCTGTTGCTCCCTCCATCTACGGCAGTGACGACCTGAAGAAGGCCATCACTTGTCTGTTGTTCGGAGGTTCGAGGAAGAGGTGAGGCTGTCGGCAGTTGCGCTCCGAATCTGTGGTTTAGTGTAAATCCTCTTACGTGTGTAGTAATGCTTTTGTCTCCTGTCCTTTTTTAGGCTGCCTGACGGTCTCACTCGTAGGGGAGACATCAACCTGCTGATGCTGGGAGATCCTGGTACAGCAAAGTCTCAGCTGCTCAAGTTTGTGGAGAGATGCTCACCTATTGGGGTAGTTATCCACTGTGGAGTTCCCTTTTTATATTCACACAAAGCAGACCTCAGTGGGAGCTGTCGTGCTAACATGTAGATTCACCCTCTGATGCTGAGCCTCCGTTGTGTGCCGGCAGGTATACACATCCGGTAAGGGCAGCAGTGCAGCCGGTCTGACCGCCTCCGTGCTGAGGGACCCCAACACTCGTGGATTCATCATGGAAGGCGGCGCCATGGTGCTGGCCGACGGCGGAGTTGTGTGCATCGACGAGTTTGACAAGGTAAATGGAGTTTGTGTAGTTTTTATTTTATGTTTAACTTTATTTGTGTCCCGGGATTAAAGACAAAACTGCTTTTGTTGTTCAGATGAGAGAGGATGACAGAGTGGCCATCCACGAGGCCATGGAGCAACAGACCATTTCCATCGCCAAGGTATGACCCTGTTTGTGTTCTTTAAAAAGAAAAAACACAATGTCCTTGCTGTACTGAGTAGTCAACAACGCAAACTAACGTCTCGACTCCTCGCAGGCCGGAATCACCACCACCCTGAACTCTCGCTGCTCGGTGCTGGCTGCAGCCAACTCTGTGTTTGGTCGCTGGGACGACACAAAGGGGGAGGACAACATTGACTTCATGCCCACCATCTTGTCCCGTTTTGACATGATCTTCATCATCAAAGATCACCATGACCAGCAGAGGGACATGGTAAGGACTGATGCATTTGACTGGAAATCTGCTGCTTTTAAATCCATTAAAGCACGAACACGAATGCTGAATGTAATACTTGTCTGTCTGCAGACGCTGGCTCGTCACGTGATGAACGTTCACCTGAGTGCTCAGACACAGACGGAGGGTGTTGAGGGCGAGATTCCACTGAACACCTTCAAGAAATACATTGCCTATGCCAGAACGTGAGTCAGTCTACATTTGTCTGCTGATAAAACAAAAACTTGGCATTTTCTTTCACTCGTAGTTTGGTTACTTTGTGCTCATTATCTGATCTGAATGTTTGCTTACAGTAAATGTGGCCCCCGGCTCTCTGCTGCGGCTGCCGAGAAGCTGAAAAACAGATATGTGGTGATGAGGAGCGGAGCAAGAGAGCATGAAAGAGAGACAGACAAAAGACCTTCCATCCCCATCACTGTCAGGTATTTTTCTACGCCGTCTTCCACGTCTACACATCGCTGATGAACACGTATCTTTTACTCCACCTTTTTGATTCTTGAATGTCCTTTTTAAGTCATTTTATGTTTCTGCGCTCCCAGGCAGCTGGAGGCCGTTGTGCGTATCGCAGAGTCCCTGGCCAAGATGAAGCTGCAGGCTGTGGCTGGAGAGGAAGAGGTTGACGAGGCCCTCCGGCTCTTCCAGGTTTCCACACTGGACGCCGCGATGTCTGGCAGCCTCTCAGGTGTGTTGTGTAGTCCTTGGGACTGGAACCATCATGAATTTATTTTATTTGAACATACAGACGTCTATGGTTATGACTTACTGTAGTTAAGAGTAGTTTTAATATCTACCTATATCTACCAAGCATTTCTTTTAACTGGACTGAATTCATTTAATGTTAACGTCTCTCCAACCACATTTTGTTCCTAGGAGTGGAGGGCTTCACTTCTGTGGAGGACCAGGAAATGATCTCGCGTGTTGAGAAGCAGCTGAAGAGACGCTTTGCTATCGGCTCCCAGGTGTCCGAGCACAGCATCGTCCAAGACTTCACCAAACAGGTCAGTCAGACAAAATCATAAAGTTAAAAGTAAATAAAAACAGTTCTCTTTTTTTTATTATACAATGAAACAAATCCTGTGTTTAAGTATTTGAACTGACCATACTGAGCTGATACATTTACCCCTAAAATGTGCAGGTTTTGTTCCTATTTGTTTTTTTAAGTGTAACACAGAATAAACTTGTAAAGCAAAAGTGTATTAGCATCATGGGCTAGGGTTTAAGTTCTATGAGTAACCTCCTGTTTGTCCGTTTGTCCCTCTGTACCTCCCTTTTTACAGAAGTATCCAGAGCACGCCATCTACAAAGTCCTCCACCTGATGTTGAGGAGGGGTGAACTTCAGCACCGCATGCAGAGGAAAGTGCTCTACAGAGTCAAGTAGAGCGAACTGCTCTCATACATATCCATATTATTGTTGATGTAAATAGTTTTGGTCTGCCTGTTTTGTGCTACTCTGTATTTGCCAATGGACATCTTTTGAATAATTTCTGATCTCAGTCATGGTGAAAACTTTAATACAGAATTTGTATTAAAACAATGAAAAAATGTTTAGGGTCTCACTGTTACACAAAGATCTCAAGTGTCGGCATGATGTGTAAAGGATTAAAGTATTTGAAATCATATTAGGACTAAAGTGTTTTCTAATTCTGATGTTTTATTTAACACAAATCATAAAAAAAGATGAGTTCTGGAGGCAGTTTTCACAGTGTAGGGTTGTTTAATAAAGCTCATACAAATGACAAGTTAAGGAAATCACTGTTTCAGCTGTGATTACATTTTTATATATATCTCTACACACAAATTTCAGTCTTGATTCCATCTGATGCGTTAGTTGATCAGTAAAGTGCTGTAAGTGCGCATCAACTACAATTGCTGGTTAAAGCCTACAAGGCATAGAGTCCCATTCCGATGGTGGTCAGTGCGACGCATAATCCCACGGTGAACTGCATGATGGGTGAAGATGGGAACATGGACGTTTTGACAGCATTGACCTCTGATTGATGCACTGTTTCTGTTGTGACACTCAACATTTTCTGCAAGTCATCAAAAACCTGACGGGGGAGAAAGCATAAGAATGATTAAGTTGCTGTTTTTAGACAGATTCACTTCCTCTTTTCACTAGTTTCCGTGTGACTTAAAGCTTCTTCTGAAGCCATTATTGCTCACTGGCGCCACATTGTCAGTCTAGTAAATCTGCTCTTTTAATCCCTCCTTTCTCACCTGGATGTTGTGCTCGAAGGCGGCGACGGCCTCCTCGAGCATAGCCGCCCTCTGCTGCTCTGTCAGCTCGATGCTGTTCATCCGGCTCCTGTACAGCTGCTTGAAGCGGTTGGGGCTGGTCACGCCGGGGAAGGAGAAAAACGCAAGCCCATCCTTGCTGCTCAGGCCAAGAGATTTCTGGGTAATTTTTCCCAGGACTTGACCGCCTGACAGATCACCAAGGTAACGGGTGTAGGCGTGGGCCACCAACAGCTCTGGGCTCTCTTTGCCAATCTGAAACGTTTAGGGAAATATCAGCTGTAATCTCAGGTCAGGCTTACCCTGAATTAACGCAACGTCTAAACTCTCCACTCACCTTTCGTAGTCTTTGCCCGTATCTGTGTGTGGCTGCGGGAACGATCACCCTCTTCCTCCAGTCTGAGCCGAAGAAATGCTCCAGGTCTCTTTCGAGAGATTCCACACGGGCAAGTTCCTGAGGGAAGTATATTGGTGCAACAGCTGGATGGGAGGAATTTCTGTCCATCTCCTCTTCTAGTACCTTGTAGATCTCGTAGAGGGAACACAAAAGGACCTGATGGAAGCACAAATATTCACTTTTCAGGACAATGCAAACATAAATAGAGCAGAAAGTGTTGTGGCTTCTTTCTTATAGCCCAGATATGTGTTGGCAGGTAGACTTTACCTTGTACTGTGGCAGGGTGATCTGTCCTTTCTGGTAACTCAGCATCAGCTGTGTGTTTTCAGCTCTAATGTGACTGTCCTTAGTGGCTGCTTTAATCTGCTCTGATAAGTCACTGGTGGAAGGTGGGGAACACAAAAAGGACACAATTAATCAGAAGGAAGCGTTAAAGCGAAAAAACTGTTCTGTGTAACAAAAGCTGTTTTAAAACCATTTGAAAGCATCACAAAGATGAACTGTCATACCTGCCGACTTCTCCTGCATCATATTTCCTGGCACTCTTCGTGGTCTCCATCTCAGACTGTAACAAATTATTGATTTGGTTTAATTAAATACATTTAATACAAAAAAACTGAATGTAAAAATGTCTATCACACACCTGTAATAAGCTGAAGTCTTCTTTATGCTGGCCAGTCCTCTGACAGTTGTCACCTCCTCTGAGTTCACGATCGGTTGTGTCCTCTCAGCTCTGTCCTGCCTCTTTTATACAGCGGAGGACGCTTAGATGGGAAGTGAGAGTTCTGAGTCACATTACTCAGGCTGCTGGGGCTTAACATGACAAAGCAAACATGTGACTATGGTGGAAAAATCTGTAAACATGATATGGCAAAAATCAAAAGCTCCAAAACAGCCAAGGGACTCACTCACTCTGTCTTATGGGTGAAATACAGTACCTACAGTACTTTCTCCTACTTGACTATTTTCATTTTATACTATGTCACATAGGGAAATATTGAATTAGTCCACTACGTGTATTTGACACCTGTAGTTAGTTTTCAGAGTTTACATGCAAAACATATGATCTTATAATATGACGCAGAGCTGAAAGTACCTAAAATTGTCTCCGCATGGACAGATTACTACATTAAAATTCTACTTACATGTACTAATCAGTATTATAATGTAAATGTGTTAATTAAACAGAGAGATAAGAGCCCGCTTGCATGAGGAATACTTTAATACTAAGTACATTTTGCTGATGAGCCCTGTTTGAGCCTGTTTTTTCCACTTTTATTTAAGTTCAATACTTCTACCACTGCTGAGAATACAAGAGATACGCCACACATGGGTAAAGTCAGCACTTTGTTTCCTCCATTCACAGTGACTGCAGATAAAATTGACAGAAAATGTTCATGTAAAAGGTCCAAACAGATACTTTAAAACAGGCCTCTTGACATTTTGTCTTCAGACATACCACAGAGGAGGAAGGGCTTATGTTTTCGGCAGAGACCACTTAATAGAAGGTTTTTGTGTTCAACCAAATAATTATGTTTGTCTCAACTGGATGGCGTTAAAAACAACTAATTTGAGCAGTTAGATAGAAGGATCTTCCAGGCTCTGGCACATTTTGAGGTGAGTAAAAGGGTCTTTATCGGCAAGAAATGAGCAAAGACTCATCAGGTTTAAATTGTTAAAGTTTGTAATGAGAATACAGCATAGGCTTCTCTGAGAAATATGTCTGCTACTCTCAGCAGCCATAAAGAAAATGCAGATGGATTTGTTTGAATTGTTCAAGCAAATTAAAGCCTCCCCCTCTTCTTCAAAATGTTTCTCTTCTTGCTCCTGCAGTGTGATGTTTGAGCTTCACCGTGCAGAATGATGTCTGCGCAGAGTTTGACACTAGACACATATTTTCACATTCAACGTTTCTCTGTGCTCACCTTGATACTGAGTTTAAAGATGTCTATGTATCAGCAGGATTTTGTGACATCACAACTAGAGAAACCAATCCTGTTCCAGTATGCGACTTACATTTAAGTGTGTTGTGAAAGCTCGAAGCCTCCAGTGCACAAAAAGGATCTTTCATTGAAGTAGGAAGTAGTTAAAAAGCAATCAAATTCATTTTAATGGCAAAGTGTAGATTACATTTTAATTTGTCAATTTGTTTTTTGGGGGGATGCATGTCTTATCACTAATTATTATGAATATATTGTATTTTACCATAAATCTGGAATACTTCCCAAGAGTCTTTAAGGTAAAATAAACTAAGTGCATAAACAATCCTCACAATTTGAGCCATCTTTAATCCTGCAGTGGCTTTCTTCTATTTTATTCTATTCTATTCTACCATATTCTATGGTATTTTCTAATCACGCCCCCTTATGCAAGCAGCCCTCCATTGGTTTTTGTTATCCAAAGGGGGAAGTGGGTTGTGCTAGTGGATTTTCCGAGGGGAGTACACACACACATATACATACACACACACACACACACTCACACTCACACACACATAACACGCTTTAAAATGCTAACTAGTAAACATGTAGCAATCTCGACAGCTTTGCTACATGCTGAGCCACAGATGTTGCGCGGGAGGGATCGACTGATATAAAAGGTAACGTAGATCTACACGTTCATGAATGTCTTATAACATCTGCAGCCGCCGCATCCCCAGCACAGTGATATAACATCGGCTGGAGAGTTCATGGAGAGCCGGGGGGGTTATCCTGAGCCTGCCGTCTCTAACCACGTCGACACATATTTTAAAGTCGATCATGTATCAGGTTATATACCTGTCTGGTTTGACGCTGTAATCATTTTGTGCTGAATGTGTATAAGCTCCAGAGGATCGAGCCACAGGATGTAGTCAGTGTTGCCAGTTGCCTAACCATGGCCCAAATACCCATGCAGGCTCGAAGTGAAGCAAGACATTTTTGAATGTTTCAGACACATTTAAAAAGTTGTTTTATGATGAAATGCAGATTTATTTTCACCACAGTAACCCCAACACTATCATAAATCTGTTTTATTGGTAAAGTATGTGTGCAGAAGGAATTGAACTCTGGCTCTAAGTTGCTCTTACACACAGTTCCAATAATAATTTTCAGGAATATAGATAGAAATAGACATACAGCTAAAAAAAACAAGGACAACAAAGCTGAACAAAGACAGTTTCAACTTAAACACTTAACTATTATGTGCATGCAAGTTGGTGAAAAATGTTTATGCGTATGTAAATAGCCTACATAAAGAAAGCATAAATGAACAACAGCATGCGATGTCTAAATGAAAGTCAAGTGTGTCTGTAAATATCAAACAAGACTATGAGAGGTCATTGGTGCTAAATGGGGGTAGTTGGATATGTACAGTATGTGCATGATTTATATCTAACAATGATGATGATGACGTACATACACAACAAAATCAGTGTGTATTTAAACTATTAAATATATCATTTATAAATTGTAGGTATATTGGATGTTATGGTAAAAGCAGATTACATTTTATTTTTTAGACTGTATATGTTCCCAAATCTTATGTCTTTGCAGCAAGATGTTAAAAACAATACTCACACAGATTTTATGTTACTACAATATGCTATATGTTTATGTTTATGTATTATTATTATTTAGTCTGTTTTCATATCATTTCTCACACACTTCTGACTCCTCTCCAGCAGGTTATGGATTCGAGCCTTCCTTGTTATATCCTTTTCATCTTGATTGGCTGTGTCAAATGCTCTTTTGATAACCACCACCACAATGGCACCCGCCGCTATGATTACTGTGTGCTTGGAGCTGGGCCTGCAGGACTGCAGATGGGATATTTCCTTTCCAAGGCTAAAAGAGACTACATCATCTTGGAGAGGAACTCAGGGCCGGGCAGCTTCTTTAACAAGTAGGAAACTATGTGACACATGAATTGGCATAAGAATATTGCACTTATTTAACCCCCCCTCGAATCATCTTTGCCTCCTCTGCTCTGCTTCGCGTGTCAAGGTATCCCAGGCACCGGAAGCTCATCAGCATCAACAAGATCCACACAGGAAGGCAGAACCGAGAGTTCAACCTGCGCCACGACTGGAACTCGCTGCTGAGCGATAAAGCTGACCTCCTGTTCAAGAGAGTGAGCAGTGAGTTCTACCCACCGGCTGATGCCTTCCCACTCTACCTGTCCATGTTTGTGAAGGAGCTTGGGCTGAGGGTCCAGTATGGTGTGGACATCGGCAGGGTCAGGGCGGTGCTGTCGGCCACTGGCAGGAGCTACATCCTGACCGACCAGCACATGTCGGACTACACGTGCAGGTATTTTGCCTCACACTGACCCTGAGATGATAATTTCTCATTTGTTTGGATTGTGGATTGCATCGTGTTGTCCTCTCTCCCTCAGTGTTCTTCTGGTAGCCACGGGTTTGTGGGTTCCTCAGAAGGTAGAGTTTGTCGGTTCTGACCTGGTTGAGGGCTATGAGTCCATTTCCACTAACCCCGAGGACTACAAAGACCAGGCTGTGCTTATCCTGGGGAAGGGCAACTCGGCTTTCGAAACGGCCCAGAGCATCTTGGGAACCGCCAGCCGGGTGCACATGCTCAGTTCCAGTCCCGTTCGACTGGCTTGGCAAACACATTATGTTGGAGATCTCAGGTAATGCTAAAGATCTGGTGATTTCTTCCCTCATTTTTTCTCTCTCTATGATTTTGCTCGAGTTGTTCAGTGGTTCCCAACCTTTATTGTTTTTAGGTGTTGCTCCAAAGCCTTATTAATTCAAGTTCTCCTTCATCAACACCACCAGTCATGTCCTTATGCATTCATTTAAACTGATTTTAAACCAGTTGTTATTACAGTATTGATTGTATAAAATATTATATTATTCTTTTTATTGAATTGTCCGTTTTTTTGGTTTGGTCGAATCTGCTTTCATACTACTACCACTTGGAGTAGCAAGGGTGGATGTTTGAGCTGTTTATCCATTAATTTTAGCTAATTAACCATTTATCCAAAGCATTCAGCTAATTATTTTAGCTATTTATCCATAATACTTTTAGCTATTTCACCATTTATTCAAGAATTTCTAAATGTGTGAGCTACCTGTTTAGACAAGTACCCCGGTTGTGAATAACTGTTCTACAATGACACTCTGAATATATAAAACTCTTCTGCATTGGAGCTATCAACTCCATTAGCGTAATCTGACCTACTGTTTTTGTTTTTCAGAGCTGTGAATAATGAGCTAATAGACACGTACCAACTGAAGTCCCTTGACGGGTTGGTGGAGGCACGTCTGGAGAAAATAGTTATCGCTCGACGAAAGGAGAAAAGCAAGAGGAGATCAGGTGGAAAGAAGAAAGAGAAGAAGGTACAGTTGTACCTGACATTAAATAAGTACATACAACACAAGGAAGAGAAGAACAGCTCTGATGTGACAGGAGAAGAACTGCCGGGGTATCACATTGACAACTTCTCCATCCGAAAGCCCTACGACCGCGTGATTCGATGCCTTGGATTCCGATTCAACTTCAGCATATTTGACAGGTATCGATTTAACATTGGCTCATCGGGTTGTGTCAGTATCCGTGCATTAATGACAAGCTGTTTTATAATGTTAACATTTCTTATAAAAATCTCCCTAGCTCTACCTGCCCACCCAACAGTGAAAAGGCAAAAGGGAGGTTGCCGGGGGTGACCGCCTGGTATGAAGGGAAGAACACCCCTGGCTTGTTTGTGCTGGGAACCGCTGCCCACTCCAGAGACTACCGCTCATCTGCTGGCGGCTTCATCCATGGGTTCCGTTACACAGGTGAAAGTTCAACTAATGATTCTTATTTGTGCTCGTGCTCATTTGTTCAAAGCATCCTTTCACATCTGGGTGTACGTGGTCGTGTAGTTGATAGTACACAAATGTGGAGTATGAACACTGAGCTTCATGGGTCGCAGTTGGAATGCAGACAAATTGGACTTTGACAGCCGTGCATTTAAGTAAAGCAGCCCCTTTCTGTGCCAGTGTTATAATCAAGGTGATATTTGAATAACCTGTATGGATTTTCTGCCACAGCTCGAGTTGTACATCGTGTACTTGAACAACGTTACCATAGCAACCAGTGGCCATCGACAAATTTGTTGACAACACAGCTGCAGTCCTGGATTCTGAAGCGGGTCGGGGAGGCTTCTGGGCCGTACCAAATGTTTGAGGTGCTGGGGGACGTTATAGTTCTTAGAGGGTAAGCACACATTATTTTGTTATCACCAGTAATAACTTGTTTTTCCCAGCTGAGCTCATTTGTTTGTGTCATTTGCCGAGTTCAGGTCATCCATCTATCCACCCTTTTTAAGTTTAATGTGCTGTTTCTTTCAACTGCTCCTGGTAAATCCCAAAGCACCGACGCACTGCCAGGTTAGCTGGAAGATGTAATCCCTCCTACATGCCATCGGGGGCTGCTCAGGGGTCTCCTCTCAGTTGGTCCTGTCCAGAACACCTCTGAATGGACGTGGCTACCGGCCAGGAGGTTCTTCCTGGCTCCTTTTGATTAATGTGAAAGGCCGGTGGCTGGACGCCAAGAGAGATAAATCCTCAGTGAGCAGTCTCGACAAAAATACATCCTTCCTCAGTATAAGCTATTGTATATAAGTGTTTCATTTTCAAGAAATATATTTTACCCACATTACCTTAATGATAAGTATAAGAATTAAAATAAGAATTTGTTTTCAAATTTGTAGTTTTAACAAGCAATGATAGTGAGTCCAGGCAATGCCAGAATTGACAGCTTATTATTACACTGGGTAATTTATTTAATTACTTCCTGTGTATACTCATTACATTACTCTTCATTGGTATAAAATCATCAAATTATGTTGCTGGAAATGACATTACCTGACCTTTTCACAATAAATAAAAAATACATTTAATCCCTATTATGATCCTCATATTTTGGTCATCTCTTCTCTCCTCTGCTCTAAGCTCCCACTGTGAATATGTGGAAGAGTTTCCAGTCCAGGCCTTGCCTCAGTTCTCCTCTCTCTCGGGCCATGAGATCTCCAACCATGGACTTATAGTTCTAGTCATGCAGTACGGGAAGAAGAAGATAGACTATCTGGGGAGGAGCAGAGCTCAGACTGACTGGACCAAAGCTTGGAAATCGAACTTTCTGCACCCTGTTTTATACTACTATGACACACTTCCTACCGGTGAGAATAAACGCTCCCACATTAAAAAGTAACTGTACTGTTAAGGTATAAATACCTGCAGTTTGACAGGGAACAAACTTCAAATGAAAGCTTTTTTTTTCCCCCAGAGGAAGAAATGAAGCTCCGTCCCTATGGCTGGCCTTTACCAAGGCCCAAGGCAGTTCATCACATGGTGGAGGACTTCCTCACAGAATGGGAGAGTCCCGTATCTCATATTCAGCCACTGCGGCGCTTCCTGGAGCACTGTGTTCAGACTGACCTCAGGGCCTTCTATGCGGGTAAAGTCACATCTTCCACCTGAGCTTTTCCTTGCCCCATAATTCAGCTCAGAAAATGCCTCCAGCGATAGAGTGAAAAGATAAAACTTTTCACTAATTTCTGTATTTATTTATATTTATTTTATTAGTAAATTGGCAAAGGTTGTCCAGCCTTAATAGGTACAACAAATAGGCCAGTCATTCATAGCCTGTTGAGTGGGCTACATACCCACACAGTGCTGAGAAGAGGTCAGTCAAAATAAGTGAAAACACCTGTGTGGGTGACCATCTGGGTCTATGGGGCATTTCTGCTATAGAACTCCTTGAAAATAGACATGAAAGTAAGTAATTAGCAGGACTAAGAAAAAGGCTATAAACAACAAAGTGGACCCAGAAACACAAGATCAAGAACATTTGTGCTGACTAACACGTCACATGCTACAATCCAATGCAACTTACAGTATCTGTGCTAAGAAATTAGGCTAATAAACATTCCTATACAATGACATACACATTCCTGAGATCTCATCCACAGTGTATTAGCTAAAACCTATTTTCTCTTTGTGACTATACAAATAGGAGGGGAACTCCGGTAAATTACAGCATTAGAATCTGAGTTATATTACGTTTTTAATACGTCTAACTTATTATTGTTATTAACCTGAACTCTAAGGTGTTACAAACCACGCCTTGTGGTGTAGGTGTCATTTTAGATACTTTAAGTAGCAGTGTGGGAAATTGCATCATAAAGGTTAACACTACTGATTAGTATGTAGCAATAAGTTTTAACATTTTTGGTTTGTTATATCCTGACCAGCAGCATTTGTTTTTGTCCTTTGGTGCAGATTTATATGAATTTCAGCATAGTTTTACCTTCATGCTGAATCACAGGGCAGAATACTGTTATTGCACTGCTATCTGTGAAACATTTAAGTTGCACTTCTAAACCACACCCCAGCAGGGGTTTTTTTGTGCCTTTGACAGCTGATGGAAATACCCGAAATGTATTGATTGTACAGCAGATGGTAGTTTGAGTCATTCCTCTTTTCTTGTGTCTTTTAGAATCATGTTTCCGCTCATCCCTTACTCACCGCAAGCCGCCACTGTTTTGTCAGCAAGGATACTTGAAGCAGAAGGGTGTCGCTCACAGCAGTCAGCTGTGGCAGCATGTTCATGACGCTGTGCAGATGCCTACTGAGCAAGAGGCAGGCACATCAGGAGCTGACCACGCTTTCCCCAACTACCTGGCACAAGCTGGAGCCTCCATGTCTTCAGGACTGAAACTTGACTTCTGATTGTTTTACTTAAGTGTGTTAAAGCTATACCTATAATGCTGTTTAGGTTCCTCAGACCTGCTACCTCCAGCACCCATAAAAATTCCCTCCGCAAGACCAAATATTTTTGACAGAATGCCGTCCTATAGATCAGTAGTTCCCAACCTTTTTTGGCTTGTGACCCGTTAAGATATTCTACTTGCAACACCTTGTCACCAGATGTAAATGTTACATGACACATGACCTTTTCAACCAAAGAGTGATTTTACTTTCTTTATTTTAATAGTGTCCAAAGAAGTAATTCACAAAAAATGAGCAAAGAGTAGAGGAAAGTTTGAAAGACTAAGCATAACTTTGTGTATTCCCGCTTGTGGTAATCATCTCACGGCCCCTCAGGTTGGAAACTATTGTTTATCACTGGAGAGGCACCTTGTCCCTTGAAAGCTCCCTTTATAATTATACCCCACAAAATATTTATATACATTATAATATGCCATTTTCATATCATGGAAATCTATATTATATGAAGCTATATAGGTGGAGGGTGGGTGTGACAAAATTATTATGCATAATACATTTTACATGATGTTACCTAATTAAACATACATTAAAGAGGGAATACATACTGTCTTTTATTTAAATCAAACAACCATTTGTCACGTTTTGTGCCATATTATTAGTTCTCCACTGTGCGCATGCGCGGAGCAAATGTGTCCAGATCAGAACGGGCACTGATTGGCTGCCCGCTTGCGTAGCTCCTTATTGGACAGGGGCTAATAAACAAAACGGAATCTGATTGGTTTTCAGTGCTGTGAAGCTGTTGACTACACAATGGGTGTGCCTTTTACTACTTGTATCTGATGATATGGAAAATGTGAACTAGGGGGACATTTTGGTGTTGTAAAGGTAGGGTGTCTTCTGCTGTTAAAACACTGCAAATTACCCAGGATGGAAAGACTTTAATGGGGGCGTCTCTGAGTTGACGTGCCGTGCAATGGCCCCAGGCGTCGCTGACGGAGCGGATGCCATATTCAAAGTTGACTCCCGATACTACTACTGACGGCTTTATTTCCTTTTCGCTTCAGCAGGAGTATTAAGGACCGTATGTAGCGAGTGTAGTATAAACACAGCATCCATATGCCACGATAAAGTATGGACGGGTGGAGCCCAATCGTTGCAACAGCCTCGGATAACGACCGCTCCAGCTCCGAGGGGGAGTACATGGTGGAGCCTGGACCCGAAGATGAAACCCGGGAGGCGGCGGCGGTGGGCAGAGAGCAGCGGGGGAACGTGGAGGGGATGGACGACGGGGGTACCGCTGCTGTCGGGTTCGGGATAAGTGGGACTGGGGAAGGCAAGGTGGTGTTAGGTCGGGTCGGACAGAGAGACGACAAAGAACTCAGGTACCTGCACCTTTTGTGGGAGCCCGGACGTGCAGAGCTCGGCGCAGGTGGTGTGGCGAGCAAGCTGGGGAAGATGACGGGGAGCAGGGCCAGACGGCAGCACAGAGTTGTACGGAACCTCGGTCCTATTGGTAAAGATATTTATGGTAAGAGACTGTTACATTGGTGTGTGTGTGTGTGTGTGTGTGTGTGTGAGTGAGTGTGTGAAGGTAGCTACATTTGCTACAAAACACAAGTTAACATTCAGTAACATTCAGAGCTGGTATCTCAATATGTCAGTGTGACAATATTGTAGGTGTGAGAGTGTGGTGCTTTTTATACAAAATGAAAGATAGGCTACTTTTACCAAACAGGTAAAGGCGATAAAGTTGTATCACAGTGTAATACAGTGAATAACAACATTTAAACTATGTAGCATTATAATAACTAAAGTTATCTGGTCTCATGTCCTAATATCACTGTCACAATTTCCTATCTTACACTGATGAACAGTCTATATACAGCTGCTGTTCAAACTAGTGTTAAGCTAGCGCTCTTGTGACTGATGTCTTTGTTTGTTGCTGTGATATCATGCAGTTGGACCCCATTCATCCAATAATAAATCAATATTTACATACTTGTCACTTTGAATGTCTTATCTCCACAGCTGTGAAAAGACTGAGGGAAGCGGCGAACAGCAATGACATCGACACAGGTATAAACAGTGAGGGGATGCAGTAAAATGACTTGCGAGTAAGGGAAGGATGATTGGAGACCGTGTTTTGCTAATAAAGTTGCGTTTTTCCAGTTCGTAAGCTCCTGCAAGAGGACATAGACCCCTGTGCAGCAGACGACAAGGGAAGGACTGCGCTCCATTTCTCTTCCTGCAACGGCAATGAGAGCATCGGTAGGTTGGTGATAAGAATGGCATGACAGTGTCATAGGAAACCATGTATAATGCCGCCATGTTGGCAACAATCCATCCTGCTATAGGGCCATTAAACAATACATTGAACAACTCTGTTCTGTAGCGGCCCCTGAGAATCAGTAGTAATAGTTAATGTATCAGTCAAGAAGTCATGCACTATGCAGCTTTAACTTTGGTCAGTTTCCTTAATCTTTTAATCTTTAATCTTTTTCCTGCACTTTTTCGTTCCTTTCAGTCTAAATTTTAACCGTAATATGTCCTTCTTTTTTATGACTGTAGTGCAATTGTTGCTGAGCCACGGCGCTGACCCCAACCAGCGAGACAGTCTGGGGAATACTCCCCTCCATCTGGGTAAGAGAGACCAATCAGCATGCTGTGAAACCTGTAGCATTGTGGTCAGCGATGAATATTTCATTCTGACACACAGCAGTGCAGCTGCTTTAGGCTCACACGTGTTCAAATGAACAGGTATACTGCAGGATGACATAGAACAAAGATTTTGTGTCGTTTTAAGTGTTTTGAACCGTTTTATTCTCGTATTTTTAGTTAAAACTTGTCAATTTTAACTTGTGTGCTTCTGCAGCGGCCTGTACCAACCACGTGCCTGTAATCACCACATTGCTGAGAGGAGGTGTGTATACATGTTGCTCAGTTTGCCACCATTCCCATACCCACCCAGTTATTCTACCCTGATGATCATATCTAAGGCATAATACACAAAAGATGGTTATTCTTTGTAAAAAATTTCCCAAACAGACTTCTTCTAGAAGGTTATTCTACCCATAACATGATCACTTGCCAAGAAACTAAAATCCAGCACGTACCACAGGTTACCTTTAACTGTAGGTTAGTGAGTATAACATTGTATAAAGCAAAGGTAGCGTCGCCCTCGTTGCTTGTAGATGCAGGCAACCATGAACACTGATTGAGAAAGGTGATTTAACTGTTACATGGCACTATTTTTTCAGTGGCCCTGTGTATAACTCATTTGATACCTGTTAACCAATCAGAAACTAATATTTTCGCTGACCATGGCAAAAAAATAAAGTGTGTGACTGTAGCTAGCCTGTACGTTATACTTTCTAAATAAATGTATGTAATCTCAGAGTGTAACCACGGCAACAGGGTGTTTTTTTTGCTAGATATGAATATAACAACATTGATTCTGTTAATCCGAGTTATTAAACTATAGACAACATGATTATTATTCAGTTAGAATCGAGGATTAATCAAAACAATTTAATCATTTTATTATAATATATATTATAATGTAATTTATTGTGCGTTTGTTGTTTCTATTAAGGAGCCCGTGTGGATGCCCTCGACCGTGCAGGCAGGACCCCTCTTCATCTAGCACGCTCCAAGCTTAATATTTTGCAGGAGGGAGACTCACGCAGCTTAGAAACCCTGAGGGGGGAGGTCACACAGGTAGATAATGTGTTAACTTGCCTGGCGTAGGGAATCAAGACTTGGGGCGTTGGATAGATCAACTGCATTCTTCATTTTTGTGTGTGTTGTATTGCTGAAGATTTTTTTTATCTGACTTTCTCTTTCAGATTATTCAAATGCTGAGGGAATACCTGAACTTAATGGGCCAGAGTGAAGCTAAAGAGAGGCTGGAGCACATTTCCACACAGCTGGAGCACACACGCACCAAAGAGCAGGTGAGACCTTCATACTCAATGAGTGAGTCTCAGATTCACATGTTTTGGATTTGCATGCATTGATTATTTATTAATGCATTTACTCAGATTCATTTCAACTAATGTAATTGACTAATAAATGGCTGTATGTGTTTTTCAGGTGGATGAGGTGACCGATTTATTGGCCAGTTTTACATCACTCAGTCTACAGAAACAGAATTTGGGAGATAGGTAGAAGATAAAGTGTATAGAGAGCGGAGGTCTTGCTCCTTCACAGGCGGGCCTCTGCTCCACTAGCCTTGGCCGGACAAGCATGCTACACCGTGTTACCTTAATCAAGATAAAACAATGATTATTTTGTTAGCATTTACAGACCTTGTGAGGTTTTGATAGTGTGTGTGTAGCTAAAACAAATGCTAATAAAATATTATCTTGCTTAAAATGAAAAAAAACAATCAAATTGTAATGACCAGGACTAAAGTGTAGTAAGAATCCATTGAGCTTATAGACAAGGAAAGAGTGTCACACATTGGCTTTTCAGAAAAAGGACAAAAGAAACCCCCTAAGGGACAAATGCATTGAGAACATGAAGGTAGTGGAACAGAAGCTAACCCAGAAATGCAGTGGGACCTCGGCTTTCTATTGTGTGTGTGTGTGTGTGTGTGTGTGTGCGTGTGTGTAAAAAGGAGTCACAGCTGTGTGCTGATATGTTCTTTGCCTGCCATTATTAGCTAAATTCTGTGATAATTATGAGACATAGGCTATTTCTCACAAAGTCATAGTTTTCACTGGTGTATTTTTGGTTTTCTTATCAACAGCATCTTTGTATCTCGTTGCCTTTTCTCTTGTATTGCATGTTATATTTGTATGTGAACTGTACTGTAAAAATTGATCTGGCTGTTGTTGGAAAGGAATATATGTGAATCAATAAATCAATATGTTTGGCTATATTTGTGAAATATTGTCTTTTTATACAGTGTGACAAAGAATGGTCCATCTGTGTGGTTTTCTTTTGTACTCTAATATTAATATCAAGATATGAGAGGGCCTTTTGTAGTTGTCATTTTGGATAGTAGGATACTTTGTGTCAGAGTGTACGAATATATTGCTAATATGGCTACTTTTCCTCTACCCTGATTGGCTGCATTACCGAAGCCCCTCCCATACACGGACACGTATTGTTGTTTCGCCGATAATAAAAGATGGCGGCCGGACCCGCGTAAATTGGAGACCCCATAGAGGTAGTAATATTTAATAAACACATTCTTTCCTCTCCTCCTGTTGTGTATAAACTGCTCAGGCTACCACCCCAGAGGAGATGAAGACATGAGCAGAGTTGAATGCATGTTCGCCACAGTGTTTTGTGCACTTGATGCGACCGCGGCCTAGCTGTGAGTGAAAGCCTCGGGCTTTCCTCAGCCGCTTACACCGGCGAGCGAAGAGCACGCTCGGCGACACTGACTCGAGTGCTGGAAATGTTGGGAAGATAGGGAGTCAAAGTATATGGAGAGGGGGTGTGTTTGTGTATCTTTATGAAAGTAGGCGGGAATTTGTTTAGCTCACAAATTTTGTGTAGTCTTTTGTAGGTGACAGACCACATTATCATAGTAATATAACGTTAAATTGTATTTTTCCTCAAGAAGCGAGCACTTCTCCACTTTTGAGT